TGCAATTACAAGTTGGATCGTGCAAATAATTCATGTAGAACATTGGTCAGTGAACAAATGGTAATATGATATGGAATTAAGTAAAATCGATCCATTAAAATTCGGGAGGATTCAATTTTTTTATATTTGGTCGATTACAACAGTTCGTTCCAAATAATAAACTATTATGTGTGTACAAAATATAGTTGTCTGTATCTTGGCGAAAATGGTCTTCTTTGGATGATGTATTCTTTCGTTACTGTATATAAGCGCCGCGCCGCTGGAGAAGAGGAAACACCAAGAACAAGAAGAACATTTTGACCTGATTTTTCTTGGAGGTGTGTTTAGTTTTTCCACTTGAAAGAGAAGATGATCTCCAAAATGATGGTTAATCGTTGGATTTTATGATGTGGGATTGATGAAGTTATGGTGCACCAACAAAAAAAAACTTCGAGAAATAATGTATTATTTTATCTATATATATAAAAATGAATGTATGTCTGTCCGTCTGTTTGTCCTTTGTGCATTACTAAACCATTCATCCGATCGCTATGAAACTTTGGGAAGTTGTTCCGTACACTACTGGGAAGGTTTCTGGCATATTACTTCTGTCTTAGGATAGTTTTATATATGTAAAAAAAATAAAAATGTAAATGTTTTCCTGTTCAAAGCCGCAAAAAAATGTGTTGCTATAAACGGTAGCGCCAAAACGGCTTTACCGATTTTAACGAAACTTGGCTGAAGTCTTCCCCTTGAAACTCTTTTAATTTATGTGTATAACATACTTTCCCCAAAACAAGCTGAAAAATGTTACCATGAATTCAATATTTTATTTGACAAAAACTAAAAAAATACAAATTTTTGACCGATAATACGTATATTTATATGACGGACAGTTGGTTGCACAGTTATAGAATTTTAAACATTTATGTTTTCTCTTCGGTTGGCAAGCATTTTTCTTCTTTTTTTTTAATTGATTAATCGAAAATTTTATAATTTCCACTCGAATGTTCAATTTGAATCATGAGAAAAAAATCATTAGAATTAGTTTAAATTGAAGCCATTTTTTTACAGACAAATTTGTATCCCAACTTTTTACAAATGACAGATGTCCTTTGCTACTAATCTACTCATATGTGCTTTCTATTTTCTTTCTTTTTCATTTTGCCAGGCTAAGCCACAGAAGCGCGTGGCCGGGTAAAGCTAGTAATACATAAAATAATCCGATTACTGAGCTACTCTTTTATGTGCAGTGTACTTTTTTTTCGTCTTTCCCTTCGCCTTTTAGGCTGTAAGGAGTTTTCCGGACCAGAGGGTGAAAATGGAGGATTAATGGTAGAGTTAAAGGCCCCCTCGGCACCAGGACGCGAACTCGTAATTATTTATATAAATTTTCTTTGGTCAGGTGCTGGTCTGTGCCCACCCTGACTATTAAATACAGTGTACTACTTTTATTAAAATAGGATAATCCACTGCTCACCACTTCTGGCATAGGAGGGTTGTTCTATAGCTACAACCAAACCTGTTCTAACCAGAATGGGAGGATCGAGTTACATTCCGTGCGTATGCCACGAAATAAAAGTTTGTTTTGTGACAGTTTACTACTTTTTTTAAAAATAGGATAACCCTCTACCCACCATTTCTAGCATACGGGGAGTAGTTCTAGTTGCACAACTAAAACTGTTCTAACCAGAATGGGAGGATCGAATCTCATTTCGTGAGTACTCCACGAAATAACAGTCAACCTCATCCAGATCGGATTCGAACCGGCGTCGATAGGCACGAGGATGTTAAAACGGGCAACGCTCCAACACACTCAGCCATCACGACCTCGTACTATGTACTACAATCCTCTTGCTCTCCCAGGTATTGAACATTGTTATCATATTACACTAATAACTCCTCCCCCTCTTTACACTCCAATCAACCCCCTCCAATGTTTTATACATCAGAGCCTTGGACATTACTTTGAATATACTTTTTTTAATGACAGTACAATACAATTTTATTTTTTATTTATAACAACTTTTGATACCACCACTTGTCAGTTTAACACTGGTAAGTTTTTCAAATATTTTACCAAATACAGGCATTAAGCACGATCGTTTCTAGATGAGTTAACAAATAAATCTGGACGAATGTGCATGCATTGTCGAATGAATATACATCTAACATTAAGGCTTCTCTGGTGAAGCAGAATAATGTGCGCTCAACTAAAGGATGATAATCTGTTCTACCATTGGCTCAAAACATTGTGTTTTTCATGCGCAAAGCAATTTATAAACTGCTCATATAATATTGCAGAATTCATGATTTTGCAAAAAAAAATATATTGCTCATGCGGGGTCAAGGAGTGCAAAACAAACTTAAATGCGTTATAGAATAAGAAGATGGTCCGGGGTGGCAGTCATAAAAATACTAAAATAGTAAAAAATTATTTTATTTAAAGCCAACGTTTCGAACCGACCTTGTAAGTCTTCTTCAGGGCTAGAACGGACAAGATTCAAAAGACTGTAGAACAATGTGGAAGTTACATAATGTTTAGATAAAAAGTATAAACAATGTGAATATGATACAATAATGTTGCAGTGGAAGTAAGTGTTAAAAATATTGTCATTATAAATATCGTGTAATATTGAAATCGTCAGTATTTTTATAAAAAGCGCCTCCGATGATATAATAATAGACCCCCATTTATCGAGTAAATTATAATTAACTTGAATAATATAGCTTTATTGAACAATAAAGCTGAAGTTATAATAAACTCCACATAAATAAATAAATGAAATCCACCGATAACCCAAATGGTAGTAAAAGGGTTTAAGAGCAACTCAGCATTCTAAAAGTAATTTACAAATTTTCAAATATGGTAAAAATCCGTTTCAACTATCATTGTGGCTTTATAACTAATGAAAAAGAAAGTCCGCATGTGTAGAAACATCATGGCTATTCCAGGAGAGATTTAACTTTAGCCAACGTTTATTGAAAACATAGTTTTGTTCCCTTGATATCTCTTTGATTCTAGGGGTCTATTATGTCATTTACACATCACCGCTAGCAACAGGTGCAAGAGAATAATCGCTAAAAATAAAATTAGGCTAATTAAAGATGTACTTCTTGTTTTTATTTCGTAAAACCCAGTATTATGACCAATAGATGGCGATCACAGCACAGAGACTAAAAAAATTAAGAACTGAAATATACCCATAGATATTCATTTGGCTGAATACAAAAATATATTGATGAAAAAAATACAATATAGTACAATATAATAGTGGTACAGATCCCTTTTTATCGACTTATTAACATCCGCCTGAAACTTAGTAAATATTTTCACCTCATCGTAACCTTCAACTATTTTATTTAAGAAAACTTTTGGAATTGGGGTGTTTTCAATCTGGAGGGGGGAAAAAATTTGTCTATTTAATTAGGTACTAAAAACTCGTACATACCCATTTATAAAAAAAGGTGGCCTACAAAAATATTGGGTCATTTGCCCTATATAACCTCATCATTTTGAAAATTTTGGGGGTATAGGTCACGCCAAACGGCTCAATATTTTTGGAGGCCACCGTTTTTCTCGATTTTGTGATCAAATTATCTTACGATCCAAGCAGAAAGCAAATCGATATTTACGAGTTTTTAATAGTTAAATAGATAAATTTTGCCCCCCTCCAGATTAAAAACGCTCTAATCCCAAGAGTTTTCGTAAATAAATTAGTTGTAGGTTACGATGAGATGAAACTATTTACGAAGTTTCAGGCGGATGTTTATAATTCGTTAAAAAAAGGTCTGTGCCAAGGACTATAACTATTTTCATTTAGAAAATAACACTATTCAACTTAAAATGATACTCATTCTCTTTAGTTCGCCTTTCGATTTTTCAACTTATTTGTATTCCTCATACATTTTCAGAAAGTAAGTGAAACTTTAGCGGGATAATTAACGCCTAATGCTAACGAACGTTCTTCGAACATGTAATTTTCCTTTGGGCGAATAATTCATTCGTAATAAGATATTGGGCCAAATTCGTAGAGGAAATAAATAATAAAACTAAGTAGCCATTTGTTGACAAGGTCAGATGCATGAGACGGAATGTACTTGCAAAGAGTCGTAAACCAAGTTTCACAGACGTAAACTTTATTGACAATCAACCAGCATGTTTAAGAATATATGCTATAATCATTAGTGAATTCAAGATTTAACTTTGGAGATCTTCAGCCAGAAAGGTATGTTTTTTAAAATATCTACTACGGTAATTACTTTGGAAGAAAAATAAAGAAATTACCTATAACAAATAATACAATTTAATTCTTGCACTATTTGGTCCTATCAAATGTAATTATACTAACAATAATACTTATAGTGATTATTTTTTTTTTAAAAACATGTTTGTATTGTACCATTTTGGGGGTGGATGAGGGACTTCAACACGAAAGCCTCCCCCTCCCCCCTTGGATCGCTAATAATATACCACTTCGGGTTTTAAGATAAAGTTATTTCGGTGCTCGGAATTTTTTAAATTAAATTATTTTGATGATTTTAGTTTTTAACATATTGGTTACTTATATTCCCATACATCGCTGTTTTTCTTTGATAGTAGTAGAAACACAAAAAAAATCTTTTGATTACAATTAAAGAAATAAAATTATACCACCGTTTATGAAATGTTTGGTTCATGATACCGAAATACATCGAATAATTGTTTTTATTTTTTGTTCTCTTTTCCACTATCAAAGTAAAGCAGCGATATGACCTTAAACTTAAACATGCCATGAAAGCAGCTAAAAATCTAGAATACTTAAAATATGAAATATTTTTCAGTATTTTTCTTCAAAATTGTCACCATCTGCGAATTCTGAGTGAATAATTTGAACTATCGAAATTGAAAATCGGTTGAGCCGTCGCTCAAAAAATCGTTACATACCTCCAAGCGATAAAGCTGCACAAATTACCCTTCCAGAGACTTTATCATAATGTGGTAATGAGTATCGCTACACTGAATAAATATAAATTATCTGTTATATTAAATAGAAGTTGCAGATGAGGAACATTTTTAAACAATGGGGAGCTTCGATGATGGAGTTTTTACTATCATGTAGGTATCTATTATAAAATATAGAGTAAGAGAAAATATTGCGATCGTGAAAAATTCCAAAATTAATTTGTGTGTGGTGACTAAACCAAATGAGGTTCAGAGTGAATTTAATAGTGGGTTCTCTTCCTTCCAGAAAAAAAAATGCTATAAAGTTTTCGTCTGACTAAACGAAAAATAAAGGTTTAAAGGCTTCTAAACAAAAAAAAATAATATTTTTTTTTTCCTAATTGTATCATTCTAAAACAAAACAAATAAAAATCTACTATTTTTAGAAAAATAAAGTTCTTTATTCTAAAAATTTGTATTAGAAAAAAGAACATCAAATTAAAAAATAAATAAACAAGGCCTCTGCGATCTATTGTATCACTTATTAAAAAATAAATAATTACATTTTAAAAAAGGACACTGATTTAATAAAAACAATAAATTAAGATAAAAACAAAAACAACAGTTTATTTATAGTAAATTTGTTATTCAATTAAAAAAAAAAATCCATAACTTCCTAGGTAGACTCTTGTGTTCGGGCATGTGAGTGTGTGTTTGTATGTGTGCCTGTTTACGAGAACAGCTTACCTCAAAAATGAAAAGTCACTACCGAAATTTCTTATAATTGCCTTAATTTTAAAGCAGCTAAAATCGATTAACCAGAAGTGTCATTCATTTAATTCTCGAAAAACAATCTCACGATTTTGTTTAGACACATCATATCTATGTACAACTAAATGGTCTTCAATGTCATCTAGGTTTTATCATCATTGAAGTAATAATTTTCAAAATTTCTGAAGTATATGTTAATTTTGTTAGTTCATTCCAGAGGATCCAAAACTATAATAGAAAGGTAATCATTTGATGTTTTTGTAATTGAAAATTTTTATTATTATACCAGGTTTTGTAAACGTTTTCATATGCTTGAGATCAGTAATACTTATAAAAAATAAATAAAAATATTACAAATGTAATTATTCAATAGTTTTATTGTTTATGGTTAAGACCACTTGTTTTTTGTTTTTTTTATTTTAAGTATATTTTAAGAAAACAATCGCTTTTCGATTTGACTGTCTGGATAATTAGAAAATCGTACATTTTCTAAATTCTCCAAAAAAAAAAAAAAATAAATAAATTCTTTATTTTAACCAAGTTTTTCTAAAACAACAATACAATCATTTAACATTTTTGAAGTTCACAGTTACGATCAGTTATAATTTTTATAACAGGTGCACATTTTTAAAACTTCCTGAGTGTTAGAATTTGTAGTAAATCTGATATTTACAAAAAATAAATAAAAAATAAAATAAAATAAATATATTAGAAATAAAAAACTATTTAATTCATCCAAAACAATAATACCATTTTAAGTTTTAATATTTAATAAAGTTTGAGCATTTTTACTGTCAACAAATTTTCACAAAAAAAAAAAAAAAAAATATATATATATATATAATTTTCCTCACTTCAACGCAGGAGCAAAACAATTCGAATATAATCATTTAATAATATTATTCTTCACGATTAAAATCATTATATCATTTAATACAGATTTTTTTTTTAAATTCCTGACAAGGGTATATTTACATCAAAAATTAATAATTAATTGAATATCAACAGTATCCCATTTCAAGCTACAAACATAAACAAATATATCTTTTAATAAATAAATAAAAAAATAATTATAGATAGTATTAATCCACTTGGTAAATTGCAATGATCCGCACAATATTTGTTGGCAGAAGAGAAAAGTTGGTAGTACTGACCTTGGCCGTAAGAAGCTGCTGCTGGCAGTAGTAGCGGAACGACGAAGGACAGGAGAAGGCATGAGGACATTATAGTTGGGCACTGAGGGCATCGCTTCACTTTCGATCTCGGTGAGTGAGAGTTGGACTCCCACCTCCCCGTGGAGGGGTATCTAGGGCATCTACGTCATCTCATCACCATTGTTAAGGGGCCCTCAGGGTCCAAGAGCTAGGGCTCGAAGGGGGACGGCTCCTTCCGGATCTAATTGTATTCACTCTCCGATAACGGAGTTGATGTACTATAAGGAATTGTTAATCGATGAGTAAATAACACATGACTTAACCAACAAAAAGAAAATAAACAATATTGTTGAGGCTGGAAGTAACGATTCTATTTTTAGTTTCACTTACCTATTATATGAAATATTTAGTAAAGGAGTGTATTGCGATCGTGAAAATATTTGAATCTCTATTTTCAACGGAAATAAACGTTTTGAGGTCCCCTGAGTCCAAATAACCAAGTCCCGCAAAATGGTCTGTGTGTGTGTGTGTGTGTTAACAGTCTAGCTCAAAAACGAAAAGTCGTACGAAAGTGAAATTTCATATTTAAGGTTTTTATATGCTAGGGATGTCACAGTAACTTTTCCGTCAAAATCGACTACCGTAAGTGGCATTTTATATCATGGGCTAAACACATTTTTACAATTTTCTCGGAAACTGCATAAACGATTTTGATTAAATTCATTGTATCGGTGTGAAATTAAGCAGTTTAAAAAAAATGTAGTTTTTATTCTGATTAATGTTCTCTAATAGAGCTTAAATGGCTAATTTTCAATATTAGCTTCCTCTAAAGTACCTTTGATTTTTTTTATTTGAAACAATTGACTATTTCACATTAATCTCTAATATAAAAGATAGTGGAATATAAAATATGAAAGAATTTGATAATTGACTAAAGGATAAATAAAAAATCGTAACGGAGAATAGTTGTAATTGATCGCATCCGAGTTCGGCCGAAAGATTATATACAGGCTTCCATACGTAACATGAGCTTAATATAATATGGACTCCGACAATATATAAATATACATATGCAGTTTTCATAAATGCTATAGTTGGTATTATTTAATATTTAATTGTATAGATTACACCAATATAAATATTAACATTTGAATATATATAATGGTACTTATACAAATAAAAATACCCACAAACAAATATAAATAATTATAGCGTCTATAATTTTTACTTTCACTTCTCCTATCTGAAAATACTTATTTCTGCTAAGAAGAGGGTGGTAAGTGAAAATCGTGTGATGCGCGCAACGCACCTGATTTATTTTAAAGAAAAAGCACAATTCTAATGTTTCTTTGTGTAACTTTTTCCATCGCATCTTAATAACATCCCACTTATTATTGTAGAATAGACTTAATACCTTCAAGTGTTTTTAGAATCCAATCGTACCTATCGCAACTCTTACCTTATATTTATTAATAATTATAACCAATCTTATTGCAACACAACACACTTCCTTCAATTAGCTACACTTCTCCTCTCTGTGTTTGGAGTAATGCCTATCAGATTATTCTCTCCTCAACGCGGATTTCAACCATTGCCTGCTCTTTGTGTAAATAAATACAAGTAGATTACTTCAAAGCTTAAACGTAAAGAGGCCAAGATTCGCAGGTTTGAATCTTAGATGGGTTGATAGCTATGAGGTAGACCCAAGGAAAATATTTTAACCTTCTCATTCTGACTATAAAACGTAAAAGGTTGTTGGAAACTCTTCAAAGTCTCTCCATAGTTTAATTAGATTACGCAATAAAAATAGAAATGTAAGAAAATCAAACAAAATAATCAGATGTTTCAATTTAACGGCCAATTAAGAAAATCTGTTATTTCAGAAACTGCAGGTGTGTAATCTTTACCGCATAGGCGCAGACAATCCAGTCTGAATGGAGAGAAACGGAGATGAACCAAAATACAAATGACGGAAGTTTATATTATGTATAAAAATTATATTTTAAAATTAACCTAATCAACATAATTATTTGATAACGAATCCGCTAGTGTCCAGAACTCTATAAAAATTATTGGCAACATAAGGATTAATACTACTTGGAATTAGCATTTAGAAATCTCAATAACATTTATCAGTTTGTAAGAGGCTTTCGCAGAGTACTCATCATTATGCCTTCCATTTATGCTAATGGTGAATATGCCGATATGGTGTTTGCATCCGGGTTTTGCAATGGTAATGTTAATGCTGCCCATCGTGAATATGCCAAGCGATTTCCGAATAGATCACCAAACAAGTCTATCTTTAGCTCCACGTTTCAGCGTCTGAGAGAAACTGGTACATTTGCTATAATACCCCGCGCTGATGGTATTTTTGCCCCTTCACTTTCTCATGAACACCCCAAATCACTTTGAACAGCATTTAATATTTACGTTTAATTAATAATGTAGATGGAACAAATCAATAAGTTTTATTTACTTAATATACCATAAATAATTCATAGCAATGAAATTCTGTAGATGTGAATATCTCCTAAACAAAGCGTTTGCGAACATACCTTCACAGGAAATTGTTTTCTTGTTTTGAGGTCCTTAATTCATATTTTCAGTTTGGCCACTAACCCTGAAACACCCTGTATATGTACAATTCTTCTACTCTTTTTTTTGCGTACGGGTATATTTGAAAATATGTTGACAAAACTATTCAATATACGAAATATGTTTATGCCATGAACATGGGAGAAGGTACGAAAAACCAGATTGAGCACGTGCTAGTCTATAAGAAACATCAAATCTTCATCTAAGACATGAGAGCTATCGTGGAGGCGACAGTAATTCGAACCAAACTCTTTCAGAAACTGGATGAAACAAACAAAATAATGGATCAAGTGGAAAGAAAGAGGTATTGATCATAATTAAAATTTGAGTAGAAACATGAATTCGAACGCTTAGTCCCAGTGAAAGAATCTCACACCATTAATCAATATTGTGAGGTATTAGAGATAGAGCTAAATAAAACAAATCTACGTAAGTAATGTGTATTTAGTTAAAACGAAAAGCAAGAAGAGATTCATAGAAAATGGCCTTGAGAAAAGAAGAAAACTTAATGCCTGCCATGTCAAAACTAACCATGTCAAACCTACAACTGTTTCATTTACAAAAACTCTTGAAATTGGGGCCTTCAAACTGAAGGGGGCAAGCTTTGTCTATTTAATTAGGTACTAAAAACTCGTAAATACCCATTTTCTTTCTACTTGGTTCGTAAGATAATTTGATCACAAAATCGATAAAAGAAGGTGCCTTCAAAAACATAGAGCCATTTGGCGTGATCTACGCCCCCAAATTTTCAAAATGACGAGGTTATCTAGGACAAACGGCCCAATATTTTTGTAGACAACCTTCTTTATTGATTTTGTGATCAAATTATCTTTCAATACAAGTAGAAAGCAAATGGGTATTTACGAGTTTTTAGTACACAATTAAATAGATAAAGTTTGCCCCGCCTCCAGATTGAAAACGCCTCAATTTCACGAGTTTACGTAAATAAAGTAGTTGTAGGTTACGATGGGATGAAGCTATTCACGAAGTTTCAGACGAATGTTAATAATACGATAAAAATGGGTCTGTACCACGGACTATAGGGTAGAATTAGAAAAATCGTTGATCATATAAAATTACACTTGCTATGGTACGTTCCATGTTTTCCACTTGTCCCTTAGTTCGAAAATTTATAATCCCTTCAAAATATGCCCCCCCCCCTCAAAAATTATTCGGTCGAACCTATAATCACTAAGTAAGGAAATATAAGAGAAAGAAAGGCTACCAGAAGTTCGGAACACGAGCCTAATGTGTCGTAACCTAAGTAAGGGCTACCGCCAAGCAGGATTTAGAAAGAAGAGGAAGGACTGCAAAACAGGTGCTTAAAACATGGCTGGGAAAGCTCAGGAGCTTATGATTCCATAGAAAGAAACTGTATTCAGAAGATCATGACCGAAATCGGGGTCTCTGAGAAGGCTTTTACAAATTATTCTAAATGTCGAGTCTCGTTATGAGAAGTATCTTTTCTATTATTTATCTTGTATCTTATCAATGTAGTATTTTGCCAAACGTCTTTGAAGTATGAAATGGTTTGAGGTAGTGAGACGAATTCTCTCCGATACTGTTCAATTGTGCCACAGAAAAAATAACATCATCACACCAACATGCAAGGTATGAAAATGAGAAGTGGATGAATAACAAAATCCTAAAACATGTTGCTACATATAATTTTTTTGAATATAATCATAAGAATAGGAATATTTAGGGCGCGGTAAAGTACTTACGTGCCTAATTCTATGACTTATCTTAGCCATCAGGTTGAATTTTCATATTTTCTTAATCGATTTTTGTTCACATATTTTATTTATTTATGTAGACTAGTATTCGAAATTCGACCATAGCCATTAAAAATTTGAGGAAAACATAATTAAAATAAAAAATAAATTCAATAAATAAAGAGTAAATTACGATTCAAAAATCCTCATTAATTAATATAAATAAAATTTCAATTTCAATTAAAAATCGAGCTTAAACTTCTTAAAATTATTTATAAGTAACACAAAATAGACTAATTCAAAACTTTTAATTTATGTGATTTATTATCACAATAAATCAAAGTTATGATTAAAAAAGTAAAAAATAAATTTAAATTAGCAATTTCAACTGAGTTTAAATCCATTTTTATGCAGGATTTCAAATTTTTATTTATTTATAACACTAAGGCTCATCAATAGCTATTAAACAAAAAAAGAAGGAAGAAAATTAGTTGAATAATCGAGGAGGAAAAAGGGCTCAACCGTTTTGTGTATGCCTATTTATATAATGATTATTTGTTATGGATTTTGATAGTATATTTAGAAAATGTTTTATTTTGAAATATTGAGGAGGGGTCCAAATGATATTCTCACCCTCTAGTTTTATTGGTGAGTTGGGAAAGGCAGTCACCGAAGATTGCCAAGAGAAACCAGAGTCGATGTGCTCACTCACAGTGAACGATTTTCCTCATTTAATCGCAACAGAAAATTGTTCGCACTACAAAAATTGTGTGTACCAAGGAAAAGTTCAGTTGGCTTAGTCCAATTCAACCTTAAATTAAGAGGGCTCAATCCTGGGAGGAGATTCTACACCCAATGTAGGAGACATACAATAATATGAAGGATGAATAGAAGTGCTCAAGTGTTTGTGAAATTGTAAACAAATAAATAAAAGATCTTTATTCTCAATATTTTTTTTCAACACATTTGAAATTAGAAGCTTGGCTCTATTACATTTTTTTTTTTTTTTTTTGGAAAAAACAGAAATGGATTATTTATATATTGTAATTTTTATACTAAAATCGTGAGAAAAAAAAGCTTTTTGGTTGTCGTCTTCTAAAAACATAGCTGTTACCATTGAGCAAAAGTTCATTTTTAATTTCATCTTACGTACAGTAAGATAATTAAAGTTTTAAATGTAAAAAAATATATTTTCTGTTTTTCAGTTGTTTGGACATTAATCAATTCTATAAAATGAGTTAAAGCAATGTGATGATATATAGAAATATATAACTAGAGAGCAATTTATATGTATGTACAGTGGCTTATAGTTAAAATGATACATTTGGATATTGACAGAAATTATAGAATAAATAAATAGTTCAAACATTGAAAATAATAATTTATTATAATCAATTAACATCCTAAAAATATATTATTTTTCTTGTTCAGATGTTATGTTCTGTTTCTTGGAGTGGGGGTGTATGGCGCTTCTGGTGTAGAAAATATATACAAAGCATATAAAACAATTAATTTTAGCCTATTGATAAAGTAACCGATTTAGGGAAATATTGAATGAAATAAAATTCAAATACTACATAATTTTCAAAAGCTTAAGCAATAAATTTATTTTTTATAGGAGATGACATCACTGCTCGGGGGCACCAAAGTCCTAAGTCTGGCTCTAGGGAGACATGAGTTCTGACACAGGATAAGGAAAGGATGACAGTGCACATGGGAAGGAAAGGAGCTCACGAAAATAAACAGAGCAGTATGCTTTAGAAGGGAGAGTAGGATTAGGAGACAAGGAGTTTTAAGTACTATATGACCAATCAAATATTGGAACTATAATAAAGAAAGGAAGGTTAAGCTGGCAACTTGGTTGAGGCCATGCCAAAAGCGGAAAGTTTACCTTTCTGGAGGCTAGCAATGCTAATTCGGCTCCGGCCTGGGCGGATTAAAATTTATTTTATGACAGACCCACGGAATAAATTTTGAAATTCTCATTTTATCTAAATAGATTTGGTTCTAACTGTAGAACAACGCTTCTCGGCCACCAGCAAGTGTGTGTACCCGAAACCAGGAAGTACCAGAAAATGTGAATGTCCTAAAATGCGATGGTTAAAGGATGTTAAGTCAGCACTATGGTAGATAGATGTCAGAAGGTAGAAACTGTAAACTGTAGAAACTGCACCTGGCAGGATATCTATCTCTGAAGAGGCCCATTGTCTTAAAGAAATATAGCACTGATTTCATATGCACACTAAGAAGTGGCTCATTCATAATTTCTCAAAACAACTTAATACATCACTATCCAACTTTTATCTCATTGAAAATTTATGGGATGAAAATAGGAAGAAAATTTAGAAAACATGAACATAAATAACTTAAATATATGTTTAGTTAAACATTCAATGTCAAAATGAGAAAAAAACTTTGGAAAAATCTGGAACACTTGATTTTTGCCATCATATGAACTCATTTTTTTAAGTTTTGTAAACGTAAATCTATTAGTATATCAAAAATGTTTTTAAAATTTGTTATTTAAGTTGTTTTCTTTTGAAAAATATTAATAAATATATCAAATTATATCTGTACAAAAATTTTTTTTAAACTAGTGTAAATAATCAACTTTGACACTACAGAATATGAAAAAATTAAAAATAATGGATTTAATAATATAATTTATCGCTACTGTTAATACAAAAGGTTTTATGTAATGAATTGAGTTTCATTAATAAAGAACATAAAAAGTGATTATTTCTTCATGATTTATAAGTAAAATTTCATATTTTATTTTCCATAATTATAGTTGTTATTAACACACTATAAAATGTGACCTTTAGCACAATTAGAATTAACATAGAAAATTGTTACATATGATCTTTTGCACTAATAGTAGCTTTATGCTTTTTGATACCCAAGTAAGTAGTGGTGAATTAAGGATAAAAAATTAAAAACATCCTTTAAAATTAAAATATATTATTAAAATCAACAATCAATTATAATAAAATATATATGAGCAAATAACAAAGTTGTCACCCTGACATACAATTAAGGCCTCGTTGTATAAAACAGCATTTTCTTTTCAGACTTTGTTTTTTATAAAATACAAGAACTTTTTTTTTTTTTTTATTGATTAAAGTCTCACTCCACTGTCCTATAGTAAAATATAGGAATATATGATCTGATATAATCTTTTGGAGGATATGTGAGCCATTATTAAACTCTCCTGGGAGTGAGTATGAAATTAACAAATATAAAATACAGTAAAAAATTAGTATAGACCTAATTTGAGCAATGTTATAATGTTCTTTCAACTTTAGGTCCGGAATAATTTGATCTTGATGCATAAATCCTCTGAAGAACAGCTACAACCATTTCCCTCAGTGACTGAAATTTTAACCACAAAGAATTAAAAACATAACTGCAACAAAATCAAATATTATCTTTAATTCCATTAACTTGTGTTCATTTATCAATATAATTATTGTCCCTGTGACAGAATATTGTATGTCTAAATAAACAAAATAAAAAAAAAATAAAAAAATTCCATTAACATTGAACTAAGTCATTATTGGTAAATCCTTTATAAATTAGTAACTCACAAAAGTATGTTTAGTAAATTTCAAAAGCTTACATAAACAAATTATAAAATCAGTAACAAATAGTTCAGACAAGGAGAAGTGGCAAGTAAAATTTCTAAATATACTATAGTCATAAACTTTTAGCATATCGTAGACAGTATTCAAAATATTGATACTAATAATATAGAAACCAAATTATAAGAATAACTCAAGTAATATAGCTCAAAATGTTCTCTAACAGTAACCTTAAACTCTATTATAACACAGCAAATTACTTTGTCTACTTCTTTAAACATGTTAAAATTTAAAAAAATCAAAGAATTAAAAGATATTTTTACCTGTGGTTTACAATGTTCTTCGAGCCATGTAAAAATGAAGGCTGACAGTTCAGAAAAATTGTTGACCGAAACTGTACTGAAGGTAATAAAAAGCTGCTCTAAAATACTCTGGAACTAAAACAAGCAAGATACACTCATACCGGAACCAATTAATGAAATTATTAATAACTTTAACAATTGGAAGCAGGTAGCAATTAAACTATTTACCACATGAAATTTTAATTCATCAGAAACTCTATTATCTGCAAGACCTGGTTGATTTTGCTGAGATTTAACCATTTGCTCATAGTTAGCTTTCATTATCTGTAATGCTACAACTTCCTTACGAAGAGCATTTCGCTCTTCTTCTTGCTTCTTTTTTTGCTGCAAAAGGAACTTTAAAAAAAAGTTTATGAATGAACAAGTTATGAACAGGCATAAAGTAACAATGTCTCAACAAAATACCTGGATATAGTCAATAGATTTTTGCAAGACGGTAGCTTTACTCATTTTATATCCAGAAATATCAGACTGTTGGCAAGCAGGAATCAACCCTTGAAGGGAATCATATCCTTTCTTAATAGCATCACGTCTCTTTTGCTCTGCCTGTGTGTGAGCTTCTCTTCTTCTATCTTTGTAAGGTAGAGTGGAACCTTTATCTTCACTTTCATCATCATCTAATAATAAACAGCACATATAATTTCATGGAAACCCAAGCGGCAAGTAATGTTAAACTAAAAATATGTATCTTGATAAAATAATTGTAATTAAACATATACCATGGCCACTACTACTGCTCATTTCTGTCAAAAACACATAAGTTAAATTTTGAAACTTTAATTAGTAGCTATTTTAAAAATGATGGATTGTCAACATTTTCCAACAAAAAATTTATTAATCAAAGCACTTTATAAGAATATAAACTCCAAAACAAGCCCACACAGAAAACTTTGAACACAAAATAACCTTACCCCTATCATAACCTTCACAGAACCTTGTTGACATCCTTTGTTAACATGAGCTCACTAATATTTTTTATCTTATCTCATTATAATTTCAAGGACTAAAAATCTGATATGGAAGAAATAAAACATTTTAAGGAAATATAAATATAACCTTGCTAACTGAACATGGATAATTTAATACTAGGAGAAATTATTAATTTACATAAAAATGAATTATAATTAGATTTAATCAACTTCTAAAACCAAATTCTGTTATTTACTAAGGACAAAAAGGGAAATGATTACAATATTTTTTTAACAATAGTTTAATATATAAACATCTATATACACAGTAATAACAAAAATCAACGTCATTCATAATTTTTTTTTTCCGGTAAAATAACATCACATAACAATATCAAAATATAAAAGTAGCTTTATGTGTTTCCATTCACTGAATTCATATTATTTCTGACATGTAAAGGCATGTCTCTTTGAAACTCCAGAAGATTGTGCCTTTGAAAGAATGCCTTGCCATATTCAAAAGTGGCAACCATTATAGCGCAGGCAGGAGCTACTTTGATGATCCGTGGAATGAGTCCAGTAAACAGACCTTGAACACCATTCTTCTCATAAATGCTCAGAATAACAGAAAATGTAGACTGTCCAAGGAACTTTGGTGGCTCTAAAAAATCAAAAAGTATAAATAACTTGAAAGCATATAGAATTCATTAAATTTGAAATTAAAAGTAAATTAATAATTAATAAAATTAAAATACAGCTAATTTAGGGGAAAACTTGAATAACACATTTTAATATTCTAAAATTGGTTCAAAGTATCTGAAAATCAACATAATTATATGTCTAAAGGAAGCAAAATATAGTATATATATTATGTATTATACATATAATTATATCTTAATAGATGGCTAGCTTTATAGATACTAGCAACCTAAACATTTTTCCAGACTGAATAATATACATAAGTTGTAACAACTAACAGAGCACTTTAATACAAGAGAAAATATTGCCTGACTTTCTCCTATAAATTTGTTAATTTATGCAAGAGCTCTGCAACAATAACTCTACTGTATACAAAGACCTTAACATTGGCACCTCAGTCACAGAGTTGGCTTTGGGACTGAGCAGACTAATTGGAGGGGCTTCCGCCATTTGTTAATACTTATATAAAATTAATAAGAATATGAGAAAAATTAATTTTAGCTTATTAATAATTTGTGCTAAATCAAATGAAATATAATGTACAGCAGCTGGAACAATTTATTTATATTTTTTCTTTGTTGATTTATTTGACCAGGACTGAGCCATGTGCCATGGATTTCTTCTTTGTACCTTTATGATATTTAAGCAGTAAACAGTAATCAATATCATATGGTTTCATATTTAATTTCATATGAAATATCCATTTTTATTAAAAATTTAAAGCAGGATTAGTGGACTTTTGTTACAGACTATGAGATGTTAATACTCTTTTTTGATAATATTTAATTATATATTTTATTATCATATTATATTTGTATAATAAACTTTTATTATTATTATATAGTATTTTTTATTATATATTATTGTATAATTATTATTATATTTGATAATATTTATTTATATCATTCCAATTGATTACAAATTGTTTAGTATGTCATCAAATATGACCATGGATACATGCGATTTTCGAGTTATTTTTATGAGTTTAAACTTGGATACTCTGCAGCCCAAGCTGCAAGAAACAAGTGACAAGACCTTCAGGATGTTGCAACAAACATACCATTAGCAAGTGGTTTGAAAAAAATTATATCCAAAAAAGTTAGTAGTTCTTGTGTGGTGGATAATGGCAGGAATAATTCATTTCACCTTTTTATTCAGAGACGAAACTATCACATCCACATTATACAGCAATGATATTGGGATAATGCATCAAAACCTTGTCATTAGACAATCAGCATTGGTTAACGGGAAGGGGCATATACTCTTACACGATAACACCAGATCTCACGTTTCATGACAAATAGTGAAGAAACTAAACGAACTGTGTTACAAAGTCCTTCCACATCCACCTTATTTGCCAGACTTATCTCCAATACATTTTCATCTAGACAATTTTCTTGACTTTATTTCGTCACAAAAGCCTGAATTTTTCAGTTCTGCGATTGACAAGTTGATAACATGTAGGGGAAAATGTATAAAAAATTAGTGTGAATATTTTGAATAAAATTGTTTTGAATTTACAAAGTTGTTTTACAAAATAACCTTTCCTGTGAAAACTGACATTTCATATGAAATGACATAATGGTATCTCAATTTGTTTATTATAATTACTGTTGTTCATTTTATCCTGAAATGATTTACGATTCATTAATTTTTTATTGATTTCACCAGATAAATGTCTAGAGCCAGAAACCAGTAATGAAAGAAAATAAACAACATAGGATGATGTATTTTTGTTTTTAATTTAAGGCAGAATATGAAGACTACTCATGCACATATATATTTAATCTTATAGACTTTTTATGTAACCCTAATACATAATTTGGGATAAAATATAATTATAATAAAAGCTAGAATTGTTTATAAATCTTACCAGTAATAATTTCTTTTTCAGCCATTTCTATCTGTCTATACGTTTTCACTACATCAAATGGAGTAGTAACTAATGCTGCAACCTAAACAAAGCAATTAAAGTTAGGTAATATAATTATAAACAAAAAACGATACCAAAAACACATTCTTACAAAAAAAAATTGTATTTAATAAAAAGAAAAATTCCAATAGCAATCAAACTTGAATTTTTAGGGATAATTAAAAATGATATTTATGAGTAGTCCTGAAACCTCTCAACCTACAAAAACTAATACTAATACAAAAACATACTAGAAATTGTGAATGATTCTAAGATGAATAGCTAATGGATTCCTCGTGTGAACAAATCTTTATTGTGCTTTCAGGTATAAAGTAGCACTGGACCTCTTCCTCCATTGATCATGATGCAGTGCCACTCATCTCATTTCTGCCATGGTGTTTCCTCTGGCTATTCTGAGTCCCTTCACGTATCTGAGGAAAGAGAATCGGGATCTGCCAACTTATTGTCATCACCTTTCTTACACGAGCCATCCTGCACACATGTATAAACAACTTCACCTCTCTTCCTTCAAGAACATTTCCTATAGGTCATATGCACCTGTTCTCTATAATAGTTTCATTGTGAATTCAATCATGCATTCTCTTACCTACAATCCTCGTGAATGTCTGTTGAACAAGCCTCTATATTAAGTCTATTACAAAAACTCTTAATTTTGTTGTTTATTTTAATGTACGTATATGGATGATTTTATGTTTCCATTAACAAATATGAATTCTCAGGTATTGTGATAGCAATAATTTGAATTGTTTGAAATTATTTTATCAAAATTAGTTAAGGTATTTTAATTCCTCTCCCCCTCCCACTCTTTCTCTGGCAATAGAAAAAGTACTTAAAAATGTATTTTTTTTTTAAATTTATTTTTTTAACATCTGTTCTCAATGCAAAGAAGTTTGATAAAGGACAATGTTTTCAGTTAGTGCTTGTTTCATCCGTATTATTTGTTTGGTTCCTTGGCCTTGAGCTCAAACTTTTTATTTGTTTAAATATCCGTATACATACAAATTTCAACTTATGCATTGCTGTATTCCATACAATTAAATATTAAATAATAAAAATGTTATCATTTATGAAAACCGCATATATATATGTACATAATATTGTCAGAGTTCGAATTGTATTAAGTTCATTTTACGTACAGAAGCCTGTTGTAATTTTTCGGGCGTGCTCGTATTCCTTTGGTTCTCCCAATTAAAACTATTATCTCTTATTTCTCCTTTAGTTAATTGTCAAATTCTTCCATATTTCATATTTAACTATTTTTTTATGAGAAAGTAAAAAAATTAAGAAATATCAGTTGTGTCAATTCAGTGCATAAGAATTCAGTGTATGGGTTCAGTATAAGTCTTTATGCCAATTTAACCCAGGGATTATGTTTCTGACCTATTCTAGTATAGACTCTTACTACTACTATAAGCAGACTACTAATATTATAATAAAATAAATAAATTTAAATTGAAAATTAATAGGCAATATAGTCCACAAATATAGCAATTATAGAATTTTGGACAGAAACTAATTAAAGAAATAAAAATAGTGAAATAGTAATGTTTTGGGGATAACTTACACTTCCTGCAAAACTTCCTCCCAAAAAACTGTAGCCAAATGATGATTTATTATTGTTTATTATTTTAAGTTTTTCGTAGGTGACCCAGTATATTCCTAAAAAAAATAATTTATACTATAATTCCAATAACATTCTGTCAAACAACATCAAAAGAAAAGAAACTACATACAACAAAAATAAAGAAAATCACGGACAAAAAAAATATTAACAAATAAATAATTTTCTCAAGAGTCAACAATAATGAAAAATGACAATAACAATAAAATTTGTGATATCTGTTATAAAGTTAATTGATTATTTTGGTCACATGTCTAACTATAGAAACAATGTTCTAAACCCAGTAAAATGACCATTTATTCTTTGTGTATACAAGTTATGATTATTAATATGAGAAAGATTAAATCAATATTAACAATGAGATTTTATAACTTTTATTGCAGGTTAACCTTATCAAAAACAATTAACATAATAATCGATCATATGTCAAAACATATTTTATATTATGCTAACTTCCTCCCTCCAGTTCCTTCGTAAGGAGGAACTATAATACTTTAAACAAAAGGAAAACTGGTCTATATTTTAAATTTAAATGATAACAGAAAATACTTGCATTTATCTGAAACTTGAAGAATAACAGAACTGTTTACATATAATTAAACCTATAAGTAAAAAATTTGAAAAACAATATTAAAAAAAAAAGTATTTAAATTTTCCAAATACATTAAAACTAATTACTGATTTTTAACGACGTGGAGTTTCCTGTTGAGCACCGCAGCCAGACTGGAGACCTGATACTACCTGGGGTACACAAAGTTCTTCGAGATGTACCGTACGCGATCTGAACAGATATTTTACATCCTGAATGGTAAACAAATTATTCTCCCTGATAGTTATAATTCTATAGGGGCCCTCGTAGCGTGCGGCAGTTTTATTTCTCACTGTTCTCAGCCACCTGTAGACAGTTGTTCCTAATGTTAGCGGACCCTTGCTATAAACCACGGAGCGATTATTCGCACGGTCCATGCGAGTCTATTTTTTGCGAATTAGTTTTTTTCTAATTTTATTCCACGACGTCTGTCATTCCACTCGAGCTTGATATAGTGCCTCCCATAATTTATTATTATTGGTTGTGATGAGATCTCCTCTATCGCGCAGCGCCGCATTTGACCAAAAACTATTTCTACAGGAGATAGACCCGTTGCTGCATGTATTGTATTGTTGTAGGCAATCACTGCTCGGGCATAGCGTCAAATGGATCCAAATTTCTCCCTAGCTTAAGTAATCTAAGATGTTCACCTAAAGTGTTGTGTAATCTTTCCACTGCACCTCTAGCTTTGATGTGATGGAGGGTGTTTAGCGTTTGATGTCTAGTGTTTTACATTCATTTTGAATAAAGGCATTGTCAAATTTTCGGTCACAGTCAGACACAATTTCGTCGGGCACACCATAAATCGCGCACCATTGCAAAATCCCTTCCCATACTGCTCGGGGTTTTTTCTCTTCAATGGGATGAGCCAAAGCGATTTTACTAAACCTGTCAAACATTGTTACCCATGATTGACCCTCATTAGAATAAATGGCTCTAGCACCCGCAGAGTCTCTTCCATTCCCCGGTGGTTCGTTTTGCCAATATTATCATTGACAATTTTCTGTTGTACCGCCGGTTCGGTGACTGTTTCTACTTGCCGTAAACACCTAACGAGTGAATAGCCCATTCCTATTCGCTCTTGTCGCCATAATCTTTTCATTTTATCGACAATTGCACGATTTCTCATGTAAACATAACATGTACGGCCCCGTTGACTAAATTCTGTGAAAATGCTCTCTAGCTCATTGTCGTCTACAGATGTAGGTGTGTGGACTAACATCGTTGATAATCCCGCGTACACACTCGGGTTTGTTTCCAGCCCCAGACTCTGCTTCGATTTTATGATAATTTGAAATTTTTTATCATTTATAACCTCGTGGACTTCGCGTATCCCTTGTGATCTGTCTATTGGTGTTCTAAGGATTTCCTCCATGTCAGGTTCGGTAGGTATGTCCTCTTCGTCAATTGCATTTACTACCAACTCCCGCAAAAACAGTCGGCCACTACATTGTCAATTCCTTTTTTATGAAAATGGAAATTATACGCCACGAGGCTTTCTTTCCAACGTGAAACCCGCGCAGATGATTCCCTCAGGGTGTCTAAGGACAGTAGGGGTTTGTGATCAGTGATCAGCTCGAAACGTCTTCCATATATATAGGGACGAAAGTATTCTATAGCCCACACTACCGCTAATAATTCGCGTTCGATAGCACTGTACTGACGTTCGGTGTCACTTAACTTTCGGCTTTTCTCCGATTTCATAATTCTGTGACAATACGGCCCCAATAGCAATTTTGCACGTGTCTGTGGTGACTTTAAATGGCCTGCGGAAGTTGGGAAAAGCTAACAGCGGACGACTGGTAAGAATCTCACGACATTTCTGAATACTCGATAATTTCTCCGGCCCCAATTGAAACCTCCTTCCTTTATTTAATATTTCTGTTAACGGGTGAATTATTTCCGCTATTCCTAGAATGAAGTACTGAAAATATTTGGTCCCGACAGTCGATCCAGTATATCTTCTACCCGAGGGAGAGGGTAACGTTCGTTCGTCTTTTGTCACTTCGTTCAGCTTCCGGTAGTCTACTACTACTCAATATTTCTTTGGTTCACCTTCCTGTTCACCTTGTTTTTTCTCAACTGCCCATAAAGTACTATTAAACGGGGAATTCCTATATCTGATAATTCCTTGTGTAACTCTTCCAATTGTTCTTGCATAATTTCTCTCATGGCTTGAGGATACCGCCTATCCTTAACGTAGATTGGGAATTCTGTCTTCAGGTGAAGTTGATGTACCGTTTTCCCCGTTGTTGGCAAAACTTCGTTTTCTTTGTAGAATAAATCTTTGTTTTGTTCCACTAAATGTATAATTGCCTGTTTTGTACATTCCACGGCCCCGATTTTTATGTTTTCGTGATTTCCCTTCTTTGTAATTCGGTACATTCGTTTCCCTACTCCTTATACTAACGCCACTCCTTATGATTAACTCTCGTCTTTAAACCCATTCGCTGTAGAATATCACAACCAATAATTAAATCATGACTGGGCATTAATTGCTCAATAATGTGGATTTTTATATGTGAATCCCGCTCAGTTAGCTCACTAAGACACAAAGAGGATTCGCTTAAAGTCTGACATCTGCCGCTAACCGTGGATACTATACATTTGCACTGTTTACGCCCGATCCAAATTTCCAATTTCTCCGCTCCCCTCTTGCTAATTAACGAATTTGTACTCCTGGTATCAATCAAAAATTTGATCCCGGATTCCTCTAATCTCGCCACGGGCAACCTAGTCCGATGTTTACCCCTAACGCTATTATTAATTATCAAATTACTCCCTTGGTAGCTCCGCCCGTCGCTATACACTCAATCAGTACGTGGGTGTCCCGCTACTACTTTCGACGACCCGGAAGGATCCTCCCTCCAAGGATTCCCTCCACTTACCTCGGGTTTTCTAGTTGCCTGGCCACTGCGCTCGGAACAGAAACTCTCCTCCTCTGAAGATTCTCCGTTGGTATAGAACCTGCCGCTCCTCCTACCAGTCCTCCGGTTGCTGTAGTCCTGGTTATTAACCTCGATTGGCTCTCGTTGTGGTGCTCTCCTGTTCGGGCGAGAGTTTCGCTTTGGACATTCTCTGGCTAGATGCCCTCGCCTGCCGCATTCAAAACATCTCGTAAGGTTGCACCGGGCTGCTATATGACCAGTCTGGTTGCATTCATAACAACGTTGTTCTGGTTTACGCCTTCTCTCATCGGGGAACCTGCTCGGCCGTCTATCAAATTTTCTATTTTTATTGACCTGCCTTGGCGGACTTCTGTATTTCCTCCTCGGTGATTTCACTTCTATCCAATCTGTTTCCTGTTTCTTGAAGCACGTTTCTTCTCTTTCCTTAGAATCTATGAGATCATGCGCACACCCAATAAAATCTCGATCTCTTGATAGTGAATGATGTGGATGATCCACGTAGTGATTCAGTTGTACCTTCAAAATTCCTTTCAAGAATTCTAGTTTCTGTGCTCCTTCCGCTTGGCCATAGGTTTCTACCATTTTTTCTGTCAATTTATTGTATTGAATTAGGAGCTTTTCTGCAAAAACACCTTCTGAGTGGCCCTGGTTTTGTCGCTCCTTAAATAGATAAAACACGTCTTCTTCTGGAGTCCATCTTCCTCCACCGTACAGTTTCTTTAGTCTTACTTTCAAGGAGTCCCAGGAACATGTTAGATCGCCTTGGATGGCGTTTAATACTCGTCTCGAGATACGCCCGAGTAAGGATGCCTCTAGTAATTTAACATCAGACTCTATTAATGTGCCAGCTTCATGCCGGGATAATATCAAGGCTTTAATTTGATCTGCTTCCTTAATAAAATGTTCAAGGTACCCTACTATTCCAGTAAATGGTTCCAACTGACCAATTACTTCATGTATAAATGTAGAATTTTGTGTTCTAATCTTCAACAATTCTAATTGTGTCGTCTCTGGCGCGATAGATAATTGTGATTATAATTTCGCTAGTTCAGCTACAGCCTGAGCCAACTGATGCTCCAACTTGCTTATCTGCTCAGCTTCTCCCATATTTATGCAATTTCACTTATAGTTCGTATGAAATTGGTACTCACAGTTTCAAATTTCGCACCAGTTATGATTATTAATATGAGAAAGATTAAATCAATATTAACAATGAGATTTTGTAACTTTTATTGCAGGTTAACCTTATCAAAATCAATCAACATAATAATCGATCACATGTCAATATATCTTAAAAACACAAAAACATATTTTATATTATGCTTATATTACATGCTTCATATCTTAAATACACACTACACAAATGAGATCCATACTTCAGCTTCAGTATTGATCAATTTCAAACAAAAATTAAATAAAGCAATAAAAAAAAAATTTCCATTTATATATATATATATATTTGATATTTGATTTATCAAAAAAAATGCAAATAAAAATAAAAACTGAAATGAAAATAAAGAAGTTTAAATAATGTAGAATAAACATACCTGAGAATGGTACGTCTCTAAGAAGGGTGGGACCTAAACCTTTCCATAGTCCTGTCCAACCATGATACCTCAAAAGACTTCTCAGTGCCTCATGGACCTCTGTAAATGAATGAAATAAAAATTAATGAGCTAATCATGTTTTATAACTACACACGCTATAAAAAATAGGATTTAAAGATTGAGCTCAGGGCCAAGGAACCAAACAAATAATACTGATGAAACAAGCACTAACTGAAAACATCGTCCTTTATCAAACTTCTTTGCATTGAGAACAAATGTTAAAAAAATAAAAAATACATTTTTAAATATTTTTTCTATTGCCATAGAAGGAGAGGGAGGGGATTAAAATACCATCATTAATTTTGATAAAATAATTTCGACCAATTCAAATTATTGCTATTACAATACCTGAGAATTCATATTTGTTAATGGAAACATAAAATCATCCATATATGTACATTAAAATAAACAACAAAATTAAGGCTTTTTGTAATAGAGTTAATACAGAGGCTTGTTTAACAGACATTAAGGGCATGGAAAATATAAATGTTTATTGATAAAAGATATCAAGTTCCTATAATAATCCACTAAAGAAAGTTCAACTACGTACATTCCTTCGAAATTTAAAAAAAGAAAAGAAAACAGACAAGAGGAATGTTGAAAAATCAGTCAAATAAAAATTAGTATATTTACGAGGTTAAAATATGAACTAAATTTTTATCCATGATTAAAAAATAAAAAAATTAAGCCAAAAAATAATGATAAATATGTATAAAATTATATTTAAGATAACATTAAATTAAATAATTGCATTAAGTGCCATAGTTTCAGAATCTTCCAAATTGCATTTTTAGGTAACTGAAGAATGAACAAAATTTAATTTTTAGAAAAAGTTGAATTATTACTCAGAATAAATGATATAATTTGAAAGTGTTTTAATTTTTTAAGTTTTAATATTCAATAATAGTGATATATTTTTAAAATTTCTTCCTTTCATTCATGTAATTTACTTATTAATCCATAACCGAGTTGATTGAGAGGCCAACTGAAGATAGACTGGTACAATGTCTTACTGTTATTATAGGCAACTTAAATTCAGTTTCATAAAAACTAAAAAATGTTTCTTATCAACTTTATGCACTAGACCATAGATGGGGAACTGTGGTCTCTAAACATATCTGCACGATACTTATTAATCTAGTGCTAGAATTAATTAATATTTAATTATTTAAGTAACAAAAATTTGGGATTTAATAGAATTAAATTGAATATATGTATGTGGGTGTTTTTATTTATTGACTAATAAAAACAGCAACAGTAAAATATAAAGAATTGTTGCGACCTTCATCAGCACTGCCTCTGCCTAACCTTACTACAGCCTCTTATGAAAAAATCTGGTGAGGTGTGCGCGTCACAAAACTTTCACTTACCACCTTCTTAGCAGAAATAGGTATATTCAGACGAAGGGGAAGTAAAAGTAAAAATTATAGACACTAAGAGAAGAGAGAATCACTTTATTATCTTAAAAGGGTGCTGCCCAATTACATTGGGTTGCTTTAAACACAGCATACTTATTAATCGCTACAGACAATTTTCAAAAACTAATATACAATTATATAGTATTAACAACATATATGAGCATAATATACAATTTTTTTTTTTTTTTTTTTATCTATATATATATATTTTTTTTATCATAATTTTTTTCCTATATTTTTATTTATTTATTTATTTATTTATTTTATTTTTACCATTTCTTTAATTCATTTATTAGCACTATACATCCCTTTCTGTTCCTTCTCTCACTCTATACATTTTTCTCGTTCCCTAGATTTTCTCCTCTCTTTTCCTAACCTAATTCATAACATGCATACAAATACATAAAGTGCAGTGGACGTGGTCAATAAATAATGTAAAAATGCTGTAAAACACGCATGCCTCCCCCCATGAACAAACTCTCTATCCATGCACATGGTGATGGATAATTCCCAGGGAGTCAAGGATTATGTTCTCTGCCAACCTTGCCACGTCCCTTATGTCGACACCAAGGCCCTCCATGAAGCTCCTTGTTGAGTCTGGTATCGTTCCGCGAGCTCCGAACCAAAGGCCTCTCACGTGGAACTCTCTCGGCCCGAAACTCTCGCGGAACTTTTCACTAAGGAAAGGGATGCATTTCTCATATGTCTGTTTTTTCTCCCTTTCCACTTTTCCTGCCTGATCGAGGTCGTTGGTCTCATATCTCACGGTCGGATCCAAAATCATCGCCGACTTTCCCGTCTTAGGGAATGCTACTATGTCGGCATATCGGGTGGATCCATCCGTATCTATACAATATACTTCCTCGAAACAGGCGTAATCTTTCTCTATAAGGAGCCTCATCAGTTCATGTTTGACTCGGTGGTGACGGCGCGTTATAAGGAGGGAGTTGTTGGGGCATTTTCCAAGCACATGTGCTGGTGTTTCTGGCTCTCTGTCGCATTTGCGACAGAGGGACCCAACTTCTCTTACCTGTCCGCTGACACCTGGGACTCCACGCAGGGGTGCATAATTAATATTCAGTTTCAGGGCATTTGACCATTCAGACCCAGAAAGTACTTGCTTATCATACATGTATTTGTTGGCTTTCGGGGTCTCTTTAAAATGGCGAACTCCAATGCCCTGCCACCTGCAATTGGTCCATTCCTCAAAGGAATTTTCTCGAAGCGACTGCCGTAGAGCTCTCATATTCCGAATACCCCGATCAACCCCCAATCTCTCGGCACATTCATCAACCTCAGCCGAATAATCAAAGATCGACTGAAAAAGGGCATCGGGCACATTGGACAGTCGCTGAGCAATGGACCAATGTTGTAGAGGAGCCTCCCATTGGCAGCGGATTAATCCTAATCCTCGATACCTCCTGGGAGCGTACAACATCGCCGTGGAGGTGTTCGCAGGGAGTCCAACAATAGCCTTCACACTCCTGCGAATCATGGTGTCGATGCCGTCAAGTATGGCAGGACGCAGCTTTGTGAGGGGCGCAGTTTGGAGAGGGTAAGTAAGACCCGGGAACAGATATTGGTTGACAATGTTTAGCTTCTGCTCCGGCTTCAGCAAGGGAGAGGTAACCAGTTTATTCAGATTTTCGTTCAATTTGGTCACCGAATCTTCGTTGAACTGTAGCTCTCCCGAGAATGTACATCCTAAATACTTGATTGTATCTCCATTCTGCAATGTTTGGATGTACTCTCCGTTCTCAAGGGAGAGCATCGCTGTTTCCAGCTCTCCTTTATTTAGAACGATGCCCACGCTTTTTTGAGGATTAATAGCCAAACCAATTTCCTCAAAAGTCCTCTGAACGCTGCCAATCACTCTTTCTGCAGCCCCCTTGTCACGCGCTGACACGGCCTGGTCATCCGCGAAACCTGTGAGGACCACACAATCTTGGTCACTTTTTAACTTGTATCCAAATTTTTTGGAAAATTCTTCATCGCACAGGTCGCGATAGAGATGATCGATGGCCAGGTTGAAGAGCGACGACGACAAGGGGCCGCCTTGGGGTACCCCGCGCAGCACTTTGATTTGGCTAGTTGCGTGAACACCGTTACTAATTTTGATTGTGTTGGTGCAGAGGAGAGCCGATATAACACGTTTAAGATCCGGTGACACACCTCTTGCTTCTAAGGAGCTCATGATGTGTTTATGGCCAACATTGTCAAAAGCACCGACAACGTCAAGGAAGACTACCGCACAATCATTTTTCATAACTTTTGCATCTTTTAATATAGCGTCGATAATCCTTGCGTTGACGTGCGTTCCCGGGAGGCCTTTTATAAAGCCTCTCTGATTCCTGTGGAAGGTGACCTGCTTTCTTAGTTCATGGTCCAGAACCTTCTCTATGATTCGGCGCACAATAGAATAAATGGTGATGGGCCTCCAAGAAGGGATTTTATTTACATCACCTTTCCCCTTATATATTAGTATTGTGCGCCCTTGTCGAAGTGGTTCTGGGACATAGGCCACCTTCAGCATTATCTCCGCAATTACTTTGATAATATTTGCTACATCAAAATACTTAATCGTGCGGATCAGAACTCCATCAGGCCCCGGCGATGTGTCCATTGATGTTGATTTAATGGCTCTTTTGACGGCTTCTAGATCAATGGACACCAAATTTGGCATCGGGGCGCACTGTTCGTAATCCGCACGCCTGCGGAGATTTTCGCTCTCAAAGAGGTCTCTATAATGTTTTTCGATATCGGCCATCTTCAGAGGACACCGCTTAGGAGCGTCGGCATTCATTACGGTTTGCACGACCTTTTTCCTTTTATTATAGTAATTATATTGTGCAACCTCATATTGATACTGTTCTTGCCGACGACTCCTGTCTACTTTGTTCGCTCTTTGCGGATTTGAGACTTGTCCAGCACCCTTGTCAGTCACTTTAGTTTTATTTTTTTTCCTCAATCTGTAAAATTTGACGGCTGGGTGCTGGGGACCTGGCAGTTCCGCATTGATATTCTTGAGAAATTTCAGGAACCTGCCTACGGCCTCATCAAAATCCGCAATATTTATCGTGCTTTCTTTTGAGAGGTTTTTGAACACAGTAGACCATCCGATAATGTCCTCTTTTATTTTTGATACCTCACCCTCTCCATTTTTAGGCCCTAAAACATTTTTCACTATGCCCCTCAGTGTATTGGTATTAGCCTCCCTGTGGTGTTTTTTAGCAATATGGGTTCCTAGACCTCTTTCACCCTTAAAAGAAAGCCCACATATGGGACAAACTTTATTATTAGGGCGTAGAACTTCTTTCTCCTGCTCTCTGTTCGCCTCCTCGACATTCTGTGGAACATTTGGCAATGATGGGAAGACGTCATCTATCGAAACTGTCTTTCCCAATAGTACACCTTCTGTGTCTGGCCATTTGACTTTTACAATTTTCTTTTCGCCGCCCTTCGCGGCATCCACAGACATCACAGAGGCAACAACAGCCTCCTGAGCAGGTCCTCCAGTTCTCAGAACCCATACCCTCTGGCCAATCTCGACTTCATTCATTGTCCTTAGGTCCACTCAAAATCCAATATCTCCCCTAGAGACCCATGCGTACTACACGCATGGTTAAAACAAACCATCTAAAGGAGAGTGGACCCGTATACAAATAAATAAAAACTAAACGGGAGAGACATGCATATATGCCAACATATACACTTAAATATCAGATTAATAATATCAAATGCTTAAAAGTAGTTAAAATGTAAAATAAATAGAGCCCAAGTTAAAAAGGTTAATCAATAAGTTAAAATCTATCTTAAAACTAAGCTAAAATATAAAATGAAATTAAAATCTATAGACTCTATTGCTTAAAATTAAGTTAAAATATATAAAATAAATTATAGTAAAACGTTAAAATCTATAAAATCAATTTATTAAAAATAAGTCACAATATAAAATCAATAGAGCCCAAGTTAAAAAGGTTAATCAATAAGTTAAAATCTATCTTAAAACTAAGCTAAAATATAAAATGAAATTAAAATCTGTAGACTCTATTGCTTAAAACTAAGTTAAAATATATAAAATAAATTATGGTAAAACGTTAAAATCTATAAAATCAGTTTATTAAAAACAAATTGAAATCTACAATTAATATATGAGTTGAACAATAATGGATTAATAAATAAGTTAACAAGTAAAAACAAATTAGAATATACAATTAATAAAATCTAGGTTAAATAGTAATGTATTAATAAATAAGTTAATGAATAAAAACAAATTAAATATATAAAATATATTGTTAAAAATTAAATAAACACACCCACGTCCACTTAATAAATAATAAATAAAATTGAATAAATCGATCAGTTGATAAAGCTAAATACTAATTCTTATAAATAATAATTCATTAATTTCAATAATCAAGCTTTCCTGTGATCAGTTTTTTTTTTTTAATAAGAGAGGAGAGAGAAAAAAATGATAACAACAAAATAGGTTGGGCTCTATCGGCGACAGCTGTTGGTATTGATAAGACGCCACTGACCTTGCTGGATGGAGGCGGCCGCTGAGAGGTGGAGGGGGCCGACAAGTCCTATTCTGCACAGCGATAAGGACCCCGGTCCCACAGGCACGTTGAGTTCTTTACCTCCTGGTCCTGGCGAAGTTCTTTGCTTGATTTTTTCGAAATTCAAGTAGCAGGTCTCCAGCATACGTCTTCGGTCACATATCAAGTTTTGGCTCAATTGGGCGAATAAAACTCAATCAAATAGGACACCGCCGTGGAGCCGATGTGTCTTTGTCACCGGCTAGAGCCGAACTCCATTGTTATTTATATTTCATTGTTGCTATTTTTATTTTTGTAAACACCCTTATATATATATTTCTATAATATTGTCAGAGTCCGTATTATATTAAGCTCATGTTACGTAAGCAAGCCTGTTATAATCTTTCGGGCGAGCTCAGGTGAGATCATATTCCTTTGGTTACTCAATTAAAACTATTTTCCATTACAATTTCTTATTTCTCCTTTAGTTAATTACGGAATTCTTTCATATTTTATATTTAAGTATCTTTTATATTAGAGATTAATGTGAAATGGTCAATTGTTACAAATAAAAAAAATCTGCTGCGGTGAGCACATCATACAACTTTCATATACCACACACTTCTTAGCAGAAATAAGTATTTTCAGACAAAGGAGAAGTGAAAGTAAAAATTATAGACGCTACATTTATTTACATTTCATTGTGGGTATTTTTATTTGTTTAAATATCCATATACATACAAATTTCAATTTATATATTGCTGTATTCCATACAATTAAATATTAAATAATACTAACGTTATTAATTATGAAAACCATACGTGTATATGTACATAATATTGTCGGAGTCCGAATTACATTAAGCTCATTTTACGTATGGAAGCGTGTTCTAATCTTTCGGTCCAACTCGGGTGCGCTTGTATTCCTTTGGTTCCTCAATTACAATTATTCTCCTTTACGATCTCTTATTTCTCTTTTAGTTAATTATCAAATTCTTTTATATTTTATATTTAAATAATTTTTATATTAAAGATTAATGAGAAATGGTTAATTATTTCAAATAAAAAATATTAAAGATACTTTAGAGGCAGCTAATGTTGAAAATTAGTTATTTAAGCCCTGTTAGAGAACATCAATGAGAACAAAATCTACATTACATTAAAAACTGCTTTTTGGACTCAGAGGACATCAAAACGTGTATTTCTATTTAAAACGGAGATTCAAAAATTTTCACGATCATATAAGCAAGATATGCACTAGACCTTTCAATTGTGTACTGTCACTAAACTTTTAATTTATCTATAAAAAAAAGTTAATCATTGATTAGAAATGTATAACAAATAATGACTATTTGATTCATAATAAATATAAAATTTCTAATACAATTTTTAAAATTAATTATTAAACCGTAGAACAAAAACATGCATATATTAATAAAACTGATATATGGTAAAATAAAATGAATCAATGAGAATAAAAACAGTAAAAGTGCAAATTTGACCATTTCGGAAAAAAGTTTTTTTGTAGGTTGAAATCTGTAGAACTAGGCATTGAGCACAAGAATAATACGTCAACAACACTCGTAAAGCCCAAACCGAGCTTGGTAGAAAATTAATGAGGGAAATAGTACGAATCCATGGACTTAAACTATTCTTGCTCTTAACACCTGTTCACATTAGTTCGGAAGTATTTTCCAATGCTTGGCCAGTCGATTTTAACATGGGACCAGTGATTTTGGAGTTGTGAAATAACGCATTAAGAAGCAGGACCATTTACGTATACTTCCCACAACAATATGAGGAAATGATCAAACACAGCAAAAAGAAAAAAACATATTTTCTCTGAAAAACCTGTTGCTAACAATTTTTCCACCCACTTCAAAGAATGATGGCCACCCGTTTACAAGAAAACATAAAAATTAATCTTAAGTGGATCCAACAAAACGTTTGCATTTTTCAATTATGTCAAAACACATGACTTCATCGATGTATTCAATTCATCAACCTTCAAACTCGTGAGGAACAGGACTTCACAAGATCTTCCTTAACAAAAGGATTATGATGAACCAATCGCAATAAATTCCAAGAATATTGCAGATTTTAAGGTGATAAAATACATCACTCATCAGTACCCAGAGTTCTATCAGAGCATTGAAGAATGGAAGACTAATGAAATACAAGAAACTGAAGAAAGAGAGTAAGTAAATTTGTTTTTTTCTTTCTAACATTAATCTTTGAGTTAACAATCACATTGTATTTCTTTGACTACATTCCAAATCTTTGACTACATAAACATCAAAAAGCAGATTTGGGACATGTACTGTTATTATTCTGACCAATTCAAATACAAAAGGTAAACAAAAAATTATCAGTTTGTCGAGGATCAACTTGGTACAGAGAACTGCAATGATACAAACAAAATATTATTAAAATTGTACATTAAAAAATGGCCCATTACAATGATCATAATCAAGCACTTACTACCTTAGTCGCCATTAATCTTTTATTGACGATGAACGGGAAGGGTGAATATTTTTCATTATATTAACTAACCACTTATGCGTAAAAACGTAAAAATAAAAATTTAAACCATCGTTTAAAAAAACATCATTAACAGAAAAATTACCTACTGCCTCATAGGAAGGCCACAAGATAGTTTAAAAGTAGCATTGATCATTGATTAGCTTGTTTAACAAGAAAGAGCGCAAAAGGTTCCAGCCTCATATACGAGTCCTCCCGCCACTAAACGGTTAACTGTAGTTTCGAACCAAAAGATGTCTTGATTTAGTTCAATTTATCCATCAAACTGACAATCTGATTTGATACTTATTCAGGTGCTCAATTTGGACCACTGAAATATAGTAGGGTACTAGCTTATAGATGTTATGACACAAATCATAATCGCAAACATCTATTAACTCCCAACTGGTCCCTTTTAGTTATAACTAGGATCTTGATTAGCTATAATTAAATCATTGCTTTCCACTTCAGCTTGCTCAAAAAGGATAAACAAGTTACCAACAGGTCTTTTTCAGTTGAAGTAATGCTCACTCTCAATGGAGGATATATTCGACACTTGAACAGAACTATCAGTGTTTTAGACATCTTCTAATAATCTATAACTTAAAATTAGGAGATATCAATTCATAAATGAGTAATTAAACTGAATTAATGAAGTAATCTTACAGCTTCAGCATTCACTAAGCTAAAAACTGTTTGACAACTACAATTTCAATTAATAGAAACCAGAAAGACTTACTTCATTATCACCTAGAAATTCTGATTAAATTATAACCATTAAACTTGTCTAGTGATAGTAAAGTTTACAAACACAAAATATTCTTTCTTTACAAATTATACTAGTTAAATCTAAATGTAATTTAATAAAAAATTAATAAATTATATTGCCATAGAAAATAGAAAAAAAATTACTCAGGTATAACATAAATAAGCAAGGTTATAAATTATTAAATGATCGGTACACATACCAAAGTAGCTAAGTCGTTTAGATTGCATTTTTGTTCGAATAAGTTCTAGAGGACTGACAACAGTAGCAGCCCAAAGTCTAGCAGTACATCCTGAAACCAATGGTGACCACATTGGCTGAGGTGTCCCGACAGGCTTGGAAGAATTGGCCCAGTCTGACAAACGCGTTCTAAGCTGTTCATAACTCACAAAGTAAACAACAGTTGCTGGTATTGCGAGAACTAATGTAGGACTCAATCCACTCCATAATGATGTTACACCCTCTGTTTTAGTAATTTTAATGAAAGCATCCTACAAATAGAAAAAAAACTGTCAATCACTTACAATTTTATAACTACCAAACAACATGCAAAAACATACAAGAGTGCCATTAAAGTGGCTTGGCCGCTTATACCAATCTTGACTATTAGTGCCATTTCCATTTCCTAAACAAGTGCACATATGATCCATGAGACCATTACAGTATAGAAAACATTTATTGGCTACAAGGGCTTTCTGCTGGGCCTGTAATCGAATTTTGACCACATCTAATGGAGTAACTGAAAACAGCAACATTACATCAGACAAAATTAAAAGGAATGAACCTCACAATTAATTAAATAAAAAAAAAACTAACCAAATAAAGATGTTATCAATGCTCCAGAGCATGCAGCAGCCATCTGCTGGGTTGGAGTAATTCTAAATCTTGGATCATCAGGAGACAAGGAAAAAGGTCTGTCATCTATGGAGGAAGTTTCAAGCATGTTTGAATATTGTTAGGTTTAAGATGTAAGCTTCTTTACCTTTTGTCATAAAAAAATCTTTAGCGTTCAAGATGAAAATTATTGATTATTTTTCCACTTTTCAAAAAACTGAAAAAGTGACAATGAATGGAAATTAAAACATAAATTAATAAAAATTTCCATCCCTATGAGCTCAGGCAATACCGGTCTTTCACCACTCCACAGATACGTTATCAATAAGCAGATTTATAACATTTAGCAATCAGTTGTGAACAGATATTAAGATATCATCTACGAAAATTATATTATGATATTTTAAGTAATAAAGAGTTAGTGCTCCAATTTGAAATTTAAAAAAACATCGCTTTGTATAGAAAAGAAGAAGATTAGTCTGGTTAAATTAAGTAAGCATAAACAGCTGTTTTACTGAACAGTTTATTATAATGTCATTCTTTGAGGAAGATTACTTTGTTTTATTTTATAAGAGAAATTTTAAACCATAAATTAACGTAACGATATTAGTGACGTTTTCAGTTTTCAAAAGTATTACAACATGTGTGGAGGATTTACTTGTTCCAAAAATGCATTGACTGCATTAAACATACTTTATGTGGCAAGTTTTTTTAGATGTTGTTTTTAAATCAATTAACTAGTTGAAATTCATAATTTTTTTGATATTTTACTTCTCTTCTAGGTTGTTGGTTTCATTCTAATAGTTGCCGCTGTTTATGGGCGAGCTTCAGCTTTAGTTACAAATTTACCTATAATTGGAGGTATTTTGGCATGTGGGGTGTTTCTTATTCTTGTATCAATACTTGGTTTATTTGGAGCTATCCAGCATAACCAAGTCATGCTATTTTTTGTATCCTTAAAAACCTTTCTTTTATTCAATACATTTGTGCATTTTCTATTTACATACATTTAGATTTATGTTTACCAATGACATTCACTTGTATTAATTTAAAACCTGTATATTTTCCTTAATTGTGTTTAGTACATGGTCATTTTGTTTTTACTTCTACTTGTTCAGTTTAGTGTTGCTTGTGCATGCCTTGCTGTCAATATGGATGAACAACAACAATTGGCTAAACAGGTAAACTTATTAATAAATCTAATATTGTGATATACTTTCAGTAGTGTTTACCATCTTGCTGTTGAAGTTTGTCATGTTTTCATTCTGTAAGGTGATAAAATGAATTCAAGCTATTTATTATGATATATTTCAGTTATAGGCCACACTATAGTATCAGATCCTACATTTTAATTCAGTGTGGTGGCTGTGCACTAAATAGCACTTACGATTTAATGCTGACTGTAACCAAATATTGACTTTTCAGTTTAGATTAGATTTCATTAACTATGTTTTATGGTGAAATTAGGTGATAGAGATTATTAGTGACTATCAAAATTATTACTGTTTAAATTAGATCATGACTTGCTGAACAAGTAAACAAACACCAATGAGTTCTTATTCAGTTGAGCTTGTGGCCATTTCTAGGTGATGTTCTTATCAATGGTGATAGGTAACTAAGATATTTAATGATAAACTGCTAAGGATCTATCTCCACTTACTAGATCCCCACCTCAACTGAAAAGAAGCAGCTGTTATGCATTTATTCACTTTTTATTTGATGAGAAAAAGTAGTACAACACATTTTTATGAAGAAATCTTTGTTTTTATATCATTTTTTTATGTTACATTGTCCATGGTTTGGGCTCATGGTCCATTTTCAGTGACATTCTTTGAACAATATAATCGACATGAACAGTAATTATTTCAACCTATAAATAAAAACATTGTTATAAAATAATAATATATATTGAAAAGTAGTTGTTTGGAGTGTTCAGTCACAAAAATATGATAAGCAATTTATGTTATTAAAAATTTAGAAACACGATTAATTTCACAATAGATAACAAAAACTTAAATAATTTTATTATCATATAACTTAAAAATAATAACAATAACAGACATGCATAACATTGTATACAAAAATAAAATAAAATTTTTTTAGTTTTACTGCTGCATTTAATTTTAAGATATCGATGTAATATAAAAAAAATATGAATATGAAAAATACGTAGATAAATGGAGTGTGAGATGAAATAGCTAAATAAAATCAGAACTAAGTCCAATCCCAGAGAAATAAATGCAACAACATGACATTGACAACTTAATGAACAATTTCTTCTACAAAAAATATAAGTAAAATTTTAGGTTATAATGAAATAAAATGTATTTTTATGGATAAATAAGTGACATAGAGTGAATGTTGCAATTTTATTATATAAAACAATTTTACTTACATTAATTATTATTACATTATATAATGTAATTTTACTTAATAACAGTAAGGTAAGCTAATATATATTATGACAGTAGATCAATAATTGACTGTCATGAACATGAGTGATTTTCATTTTAGGGGCAAATTTTCGTCCATTACAACTTTTACGTGATTAGTTAAGTCTAACTTGATTTTTTCCTACACTGCTATACGGTGAAGAATTATTTCTTCATTATGAAATATTAATGAATAGTGTGATTTTATAATTACTTAAGCTACTAAAATGTTGTTACCACGTATTGTCCTATTCTCAGTTTTCTAGTAAAAAATTACTTTATTCTTTTGAAACCTATATAAAATGGCAGTGAAATTTATTTCTACTCCTAAAGAATAATTATGAAATTTTAAATTCTATATTTTTTTTATACTTTGTCCCATCACTTTGATGTCATTACCAAGCAAAAAACATAACATCAGATACTTAAGCGTTGAAAAGAGGGAACAGTGGTGAAATTTCTTCAGAGTATAGTAGTAGCCATGGAGTTTAAACACAGCCACCAGCGGATGGACCAGTCAATTGGGGAGCCTCCTTCTACCCTTTAGGGGGGCGGGGTGGCCGAATAGGCTAAAGCGTGTGCACAGCACCGCTAGTTGCCTGGCAACCGGATAACAGAGATTTGAGATGATATAAAAAGTACAAGTTCGCATAAAAAGTACAAGTTCGCGTCCCGGTGCCGGAGGGGATTTTAAATTTCCCGCCCTCACCCTCCGGCCTGGGAAAATCCCGTATAGCCTAAAAGGCGAGGTAGGGAAGAACAAAAAAAAAAAAAAAAAAAAAAAAAAAAATCCGTTTCTTATACATTGATCAGGTACCTCTATTGTTGTCATTACCACAGCACGTATTATCTTGCTTCCTGTTCAAATTATTTCATTTATTATAATTCACGTTTGACTGTGGATTGTAGTCAGTTGGAAAAAACAAAAACTATAATACTAGTTACACAGCGGTTCTGGCCGAATAAAATACATGAAAATGTTATTACCAAGTTGAAAGCTCTTGCCATTCCCACAACCGAATTATTAGCTTTACTTACTTTAATTAATGAGCAAAAAGCACTTTTGATCTTGGCCATTAGCTTAGATAAAGCTGAGCGGCAATAGAAGATGTAGGTATTTAAAATGCCATCAAAATTATTAAAATTTTATCATGAAAATTGCCCATATGGTGATCTGAGAATCACCTACATATTGAAGAGGAGTTAGTTGGAGTGTTCTGTCACAAGCAACAAAGTGAAAATAAATAAATTAAGTAGTTTATGTATTACTTTAACTTAAAAAACAGTTGGACTTAAATAAGTACACATATGTAAAGAAAGGGATATGAGGATGATAAAAATTATAATAAAGTTCAATCCTTGACAAACAGATGCTGTGAGCCATTCGAAACTAATTTACTGAGCAACTTCCTCTGCAAAAAAATAATGGACAAATAATTGACATAGAATGAATGTAGCAATTTTATTATATAAAAAAGGAAATATACCTGTGTGTAAACCAATATATATAGTGATTTTGTAACAATTTTTTTATTTATATGTTGAAAGCAGTAATAATTTTAATAAAAATAATTGTCAAGTGGTAATTTCATTGCTCAAAAATGAAAAAATGTGGATATTGGTCATCCCTTTTTCTTTTGGTCATATTCGGCTGTTTTCAGTATTCCATCTGCTGTATGATATTGCTCAGCCAGCATATTGGAGTAGCTCTTCGGAACCAATATCAAAAATGACTTATTTAGTAGAATCAATATGATGTATATGGTAAATTTTATATATACTTTCACACAATCAACAATATTGATATACTAAGTTGATATTGAAATTTTAAGGCTTCAAATATTCTGAAATCTTACTATCAATACTTAAAAAATGAATGTGACAAAAATGTTGACATATTAAGTTAAATGAGAGATTGATGTAACATAAATTTTACCTCTATAGAAATCTACATTTACACTGTTTAAAACTTTCTAGTAATTGATACAGATACCAGACAGTTTTAGAATAATTTTGAGATGTTACCTATTCTGATATTTTAATGAACGTTTCTATTATTTTCACTTCCCTTCAATCCTATATATTATTTCTAAAAGGTGTTTTTTTGTTGGTATGCCATAACTTCATCAAATTCAATGATTGACTGACCACTCATTTTTAAGATATTCTTCTCCTTCACATGCGAAAAATAGTCCTGTCCCTCGAAATTTCTGGAAAAAAGTTATGAAGGAAAAGAAATTTTATTTGCAAATAACTTAAAAAGTATAAATTTTTTTCGTGACTGTACCCATGATAATTAGAATGATTTTCTTTTTCATTATCATTTATTAAATTAATATAATTTTTTTACATTATTTCAATAGTTAAATTTTAATTTATTCTCCCACTAATATCTTCAACTGTTTGTTTTATAATATAGTATAAAATGTTGCTTTAAATTACCTGCAAAACAAAAAAACAAAAAAATTGTAAAAATCAGACAATTATTAACAAAGGTACTGTCCATTAGTTTTGGTTTACTTAATAATGTGTTCCTGTTTAAAGATATTGCATTTAGGAGTAGAATAGTCTACTACACTTTTTTTCCTGGCTGGTATATTAACTTTATTATTTCTTAAAGACATTTGGTTGTTCTTACATTTTATTATTGTTAATAATTTAGAAAATCCCATGATCGGGGCATTATTTTGTCTTTATTACTTACATCGTCTTTCCAGTCAGTGTTAATATTTTTGTCTATTATGTTTAATGGAATATTGTAATCAACCAAGGAAAATATATTAATTCATTCCTTACATAATAAATAGGAACTACTTATTTCAATATTGTTTTGCTATTTCTTCATTAGACAAAATTTTCTGCGAACTATTGGCACAGGCCAACTAGTTTCTATTATTTTTGTTGCTTTCAGTTTACATACTTTTTTTTAATATTTCCATGTTATTGCAAATGTTTGTCAACAGTGTGGAATATAATTGTTTGTGGAACTTCTTTTATTTTCACAAAATCTCAATTATTATTAAAATTAAAGATATAATTCATTAAATAAATGAATACCATCTTTTGTCTTACAATTTGCATTTTAGAGATCATAAGTTAAAATTTAGAATTTATCGCTAGAACAATGCAAGATGTCATTTTCTAGTGCTGTTTTTTGAGTTTAGTGAATCCTTTTTGATCTTTTAATTCTACCTTGCCGTTTAGGCTGTATGGAGATTTTCCTTGGTCAGGAGAGAGGGCGGGGACTTAATGCCGGAGTTAAAAGCTCTCCCACCCGTGACATGAACTCGTAATTATGTCTTTTAAACTTTGGTTTATCAATCATCTGGTTGCCAGGTAATGTGTGATTTTTCACACACATTAGCCCGTTTGGCCACTCGCCAAATTTTGATAAGTGCCTGTCGACAGCTGTTATAACTGCAGCTAATATAATTTTAAATAGCAGTTTTCTTATAGCCCTATATAAATCATATTGTTGATTTTTTCTTTTTTTCATTGTTCAGGATCCATTTCAGTAGAGGTTGGATAGATAATAGTTTTATTTTGGACTAAAGCAGAATATAACTATCTGCCCACTAACAAATAATAATGTTACAAATAAGTGAAGACTAAGAGTTTACAGCTTGCAAAGAGGCAGCTATTTGTACCTCCCACCAACAGAAGCACTTAACTCATCAATATTTATGTTTTTCATCTACTGAACATGGCAGTAGTGATATTAACTCAGCTGACTCAATAATTCAAATTCTTCGTTGACACCAAGCTTTTACAGTTGTTTTTTTTAATGGAAGAATTATATTTGTTATCTCTATCACTATAACTATAAGAAGTGTTGACCTAAAATCCTAAATATCTAAAGGCTACTTCTATAACCCAAACTATTTTTAATGAAAACTGAATAACTCATAGTGATTTCCCATTTCCTTAAAGTTTGAGAAACTTTCAATTGTTCTTAACCTTTGTTTTTAAACTACATCCTATGTCATATTCTTTAAAAACTAATTTTTTTTTTCTTTTTAAGGGTTGGAGTCGTGTGGATAATGAGCTGAAATCGGAAGTTCAGAGAACCTTCAGTTGTTGCGGATTTGATGATAAAATCCACCAAGTGAATGACTCTATGGGACATCCAGATTGCTCCAAAGATGTAGGTTTCATATTTTTGTTTATTAGATAATGCTACATCCATAATTTGTATGGTCTATTTATTTTAATTTATACTTATATGTGTATTTGTCATTGTGATATTGTGATAGATAAAAATAATCTCAAATGGCTTGTATGTTGTGCTATTGAATCTATAAGTTTAGGTGTTTTATCAATGACCAGAGGAAAAATTATAATTAAAAGAGAAGTTATTAAGGGTGTAAAGTGAGCCATACACGGTCAGTGAGAAGAATTGAATGATATTCAAACTGGAGATTGACATGATGATTGATAATGTAAGGTTAAGACTGATAGATTGGACAGACTAATTTCAAGAAATCTGAAATTCAAACACAAAGAGTGGATGAGAGGATATGGTATTAAGACTAAATACCAATTTTGTTATAGGTCTCAGAACCATTGTAGAGTCAAAATTATAGGTTGTTAACTGAAGTTGAAAATAAACATTTTTTTTTATCCCTAAATGTATAAATTCATCTTGAAATAAAAAATTAATTGTTAATTCTTGCACATGACATTTGTGAGTTATCTTTCTTTTCTACCCTGACATATATATTAAAACTACATTTTATTTAAATCTGCTTAATTTTACACTGATATGGTGAATTTAATCTAAATCGTTAGATCCGTTTTCGAGAATTTCGTAAAAATGCGTTTAGTCCATTATATAAAGTGTAACTTCCGGATAGCCGATTTTGACGAAAAAGTTGCTGTAACATCCCTGGTTAAAAACTTTAAATATGCAATTCCACTTTCGTACAACTTTTTGTTTTTGAGCTAGACTGTTAACTCACACACACGCACACACAGACCGTTTTACGGGACTGTTATTTGGACTCAGGAGACCTCAAAACTTATATTTCCTTTGAAAACTGAGATTCAAAAATTTTCACGATCACAATATTTTTCTTTATAATATATTTCATATATAGGTAAGTGAAAGTAAATACCTGTACCACTACAACCGATGAAGAAGGGTTTTGGGTTCAGTATTATGTTTTCTGTTCAGTACTCTGAGCAGCCATAATCCATGGATTTTGGCAGATTTGTCACTGTAAGATTGAATCTGAAGAACACTACCAGATTGGCACCAAAGGGATCTGCTATGAAAATGAAATGAATTCATGGTCTATAGCGATGCCAGGCTGCGTGACTTCGAGTATCATTTTCTTATAAATATATAAGTGTAAATGAGAAAATATGTTAACTAACCTTCAAGTTATATAAGTCTTCGATAAAAAAATGTTACCATATAAAATACAAAACTGGTACTTTCATGACCTCCCACTGATCTCTGGCTGACAATCAAAGTATGGATTACAATTTCTTGATCAAGAATTGGATTAAAATTCTTACTCCTGTAAAAGGGTGTTAAGATTGATTAATTGATTATTTCATTATGAGTGTACATTTTATCTCAGTAGGTTAGAAAGTCAGTTGCTATCAATTCATTAATCCCCTTGACAAAGATTTAGTTCTATTCTGTTGCCTCTCTTAATATAACTGTTATTTCCGTATAATATTCTACCAACACTCTCAGACCACAAAGTGGTCGCTTTACAGGTATCTTTTTCGAATGTTTATTACCTTCTATATACTGCTATTCTCTTTTCCTTGATTAACTATTTTATTAATTAACTTTTTTATTCAAATTAAAATTGATTTGTACCATTTGCGGTTGAAATAAAAAACATAGTTATATTTATTTATTTACTTATAATGTTTATATTTATTACTTGTCTCATCGAGTGATAACCGTTATGATATCCTAAATATGGTTCACAATGAGTGTAATTGATTAACAGTTTTAATTTCTTGTCATGACTAAAATATCTCTGTATTTTTGTTTTTATCTAGCCTATTTGCTGTCCGGCTGGCAGTAGAGAAGATTGTACCTGCCCTCCTTGCATGTCCAAGTTGCAGTCTACAATTGATTATGCCTTTAAACTGTGTGGAGGAATAGGACTTTTTTTTAGTTTCACTGAGGTGAGTTCAGTATTTTTTAATTTTATGATTGCTTATTATAATTTATTATATGACTGTTGCTTTTGTAATTACTTTTTTCTCTCAGTATGTGATGATGCACTATGTTGCAGGAGTAAAAAGTGCTCATTTGATATTTTTTAAGAATAAATTTAATTTTCACACAATGCTGTTTTATATAAAATATTTTTGTGATTCATTTTATTGATCATTTAGTTGTTTAGTATCATAAACCATGCAGCTTCTGTAAAATGAATTGGCCAACTGCTTCATAGACTCCTATTATTTTAGGTTATTTCTTTAAAACATCAATAATTTTTATGTAGAAATGAGATAATCTATTACTAAATTTTAATAGAATAAAGCTGTAAGATGTCATGTTTTATTGCTAATTAGTTTACATATAAAATAAAATGATAGATTGTCACCAAATCTTTTTCAACTAATATTTATTTTTATGAATTACTGAATTTATTTTTTATATAATTGCTTAAAAATTTTGTGAACTGTCACATCGATTGATTTTTGTTTATTAAAATCTTATATATTACCTGATACAGATTAAAAAATAACTAAGTCCATTTTGATATCTATTCTCGCTCTCTACTTAATATAAAACAGAGTGACAATACCAATTGTCAAGTAATAAATTCTCATAGTGAGGAAGTTTGTAATTGGAAGAGAGGAGCAAGACAGGAAAAAATGGAAAAGGATAACTCAGGAGGTCAAGAGTGTTCCTGACTCGTAGCATCGGGGAGTTGGTGAATTCACTTAACATACCTAGTTCTACCATAAATACTGTTACAAAAGTTGAACTTTGTTTACATCCTTGGGTATTATTGAGATAATCCTTACCTCTATCAGATTATTTTCTTTACATGTCAGGATAATAATCCCAATTAGTTTGTATGTTTCTTTCGCTCAGTTAACATGGAGTGGGGTAATAAAGAAAACCGAATAGCTGTAATTGCCATACAAATAGTTGGAAAATATAGATCAGAGATTTTCAACACTTTGAAACCTTTGGGTATCAACCGTATGTTCGTGTACTGTACTATTGATAGATATAATGAGATTCTATTTGTATGTGACAGGCCGTCCCCGCACTGTAAGATCAGCAAATGCAGTGAGAGCAGTGGCTGTTCAAATCAGAAAAAATCTCATTCAAAAGCAACAAATCATGTCTCAGGAAATAGGAATCTCAATGTCTCTCATAATAAAGAATGACCTTAGGGTGGGTGCATTTCAAAGAATGACAGGACAAAACCTTACCACTTCCCTAAAAAAAATTAGAGTGGATTGAGGCAAAGTGTTCCTTGGCCATTACACCAATCAATGAGAACATTTTTACAATTAAAGAAAAATTTGAATGCCAAAATGATCGTGTGTATGCACACAGCTCTCAAGAAGCCCAGAAAGTCATTGGAAGAGTGGAAAGAGGTCATCATCCCTCCTCATTGATGGTTTGTTTGGTGGGGAGTTTGCTTTGATGGCACCATTAAGCTCCATTTTTGTGAAAAGGAAGTTAAAACTGCCGCTAAAAACTATCACAACGATATTTTGGAATCTGTTGTCGAGCATCTAAATGATACTCTGTTTGCTGGAAGTCATTGATGATTATTTAGTTGCTCTCAATGTTGAAGCCAGTAGGTTAAAGGTAAGCGAAGCATTTGGCTTAAAGCTCTTCATCGAGGTACTTTGCCCCACCATGAATCCTACTATTAAGCAATGAGATACCTGAATCCTGATGGATAGATGAATTAAACCGTGAAAATCAAAACTTCATGCAGCGAATTCCCAAAAAAGGTAGAAGTGAAATATGCGCATATATATCCTTGTTATAGGCTGATTGGTATCTACAGCTCCACTGTAACTTTCAGAAATAATCAACTTTCTAGATATTAGAAAAAAAAGAAAAGAAGTGGAATTTAAATTAAGAGCCTTCTTTCTCTCACTAATAATTAACTAGATTTTAGTTTATTTTTATTCTTAGTTTTTCTTATTTACTTATTTTTCTGTAACAAAGTTGCTCAATAAAAAAGTGGGCCCAGGTTTAATAAACCAAACAATATTAGTAAGCTATATCTGTTTTATCATCATTAGTTTAATTAATTTGTGGTCAAAAGATTCTCTTGGGATCCAGCACAACTATATACTGGATACTGGAATTCCAATGACTTAAGTACCTAGCCTATAGTTATTCCTCTGGATTTAGAGGAAACCACAAGATTTCCATGAATTTTACCATATCTTGTTTAACCACTGTCAATAAAGAGTATTTGTGTTATAGTTTTTTCCCCTTACTTATTAGAATTCATGATTAAAACTGAAAATATTTAAAACAGATAGCTATTAAATTTATTCTCAAAAATACAGAAAAATATCATAAGTAACAGGCAGCAATGTTTCATTCTTTTTCATTAATTTTCAATTTATGAAACTTTTTAGTATCAATTTACTACTTACAGAAAAATTATTATTGTTATAATTTCAATGAAGATGAGCTCAATAAGTTGATAGTAAAATTGTAAACCTTAAACAAAATATAGTTGAAGTCAGTAGGGTTTACACAGAATTGAAAATTATGTTGTGTTATTTACTATAAAAAAAAAACATTAATTTCTCTTAAATTATTACTTTATTTATGTATATTTCTTTATAAAGTGTTTAAACATTTAACCTCTTACATCAAAAAGATTGCTGCCATCGCTGTTGATTAAAGCTCCTAAGCATGTTCCATATTTTAATTGATGATTTTTATTAATTTTAGGAATTTAAAAAAATAAACTTAATGAAAGTTTGCAACTCTATTCTCACTGCCTGTGATTCAATCCATATTTTAGTATGCTAAATATGGAATGCTCGTAGTTTGCATGTAATGAAACACAATAATTGACTTTCCCTTAGCTTTTTTAATTTTTTTTTTTCATTTCATAGTTTTATAAATAAGCATTTTATTTGTTTCATAGATTTAAAATAATTAAAAATCACTAATTAATGACATTACTGAGGGGAAAGTTTAATTTTTAGTTCTGTTTTTATTATTACTCACTAAATTACATTGAAATAAAATTAAAATAAAATGAAGTTTGTAAGCCTTGTAGTAATTTTGTTGGTTTGTTGTTGATGTTTTTTTTTGCAGTTTGTGGGTGTTTGGTTGACAGTGCGCTATCGAAACCAGAAGGACCCGCGTGCGAATCCCCGTGCTTTTCTTTAACCATTAACTCCACTCGGTGGTTGGGTATTACACCATTAACTTCGCCTTCCTTTTCCATTCCTCTTTTTCTGTATCTTTGACACTTTAATCTTTTGGTAGTATAATTAGTTTATTATGCTTTTCTAGAAGCAGACCCATTTTACTTAACAGCACATGTTAATTGTTTTAAATTATTCAGTTATTTTTCATCACTTCATTAAATGAAAATAAAAATAAATATTTAATGTAGTACATTGATGTTGTGTGCTTAGATAATAAATGTAAATGTTTAAAAAGTTATATACTACTTCTTATAGGAAATAAGAATCTGTTTTAGAATCACATATATGTTAAGTTATCCACTTTTAACAACACCATGCTTTTTTATTTTTTCAATTTACATTTAATAAAAGAGCTTAGATTATTTTTTAAAATGATTAAATCCTTTTCAAACTTTTCATTTTAAAAATAAAATGACTATGATGTGAGAATATCATCTTATATTTGTAATAATAAATAAATCTTATTAAATTGATTTTTCCATTTATAATCTAGCTTTTAACTTCTGTTCTTATTTGTTGAGTTTTTACTTGTTTATATTAAATAAAGGTGAAGTGCAAAATAAAATTGTACCACAAAGTTAAAGATAATATTGTTCATATTATATTTCTATTAATATTTCACCTCCTTTTTTTAATTGCAAGATTCTCTTCAGATAATCTTGTCTGTCCTGTATTCTACTATCACAGGGCTGTAAAAATATCATCTTTAATTTGTATTAGATGCAGACATAAAAAAAAATATAACTTAATACTAAGTTACTTATTTTATACAAAAATTTTACCAAACATTTTAAAATTATCTATAGCATTTCTTTATTATAAATTTTATTACATATTAATATGTAATTCTTAAGAATATCCTCTTCTTTTTTTAAAGTACTACATCTAGTATTTTTACAAGTGTAAATAATTTTCAATTTAAAACATACTTTGATTAATGGGTCTGGTTTTAGGTTGATATGGTATAAGGTTATATAACCCTGTGTAAATTGTTGCTTTTCTCACTGAAAATATCTAATAAAAATATATATTGTTTCACTAATGATACACAGTAGTTACTTATTTATTTGTATTTACTTTTTTTTAATCTCTTCAACTAGTGCTTTTGTTGTAGGAAGAGCAATTTTTTAAACAGAGTTAAAATTAATTATAGATAAGCATGTATTCTTTACAATAAATGAGTTGAGGGTTTGGGAACCTTGCTTGTCTCACCTGCATGCATTTACTGAATATAAACAGAATTCACCCATTTTAACTAAAAGCCTTCTGTATCCTCTTTGAATAATGGAATAAGCAAAAATACTAACATGATATGTAGAAAGTTTCCATATGGTTCATCTTATCATAGCATTACTTATAATAATTTACTGTATGAACAAGGAATTATTTGATGATGTCAAACTCTTTTATGATTGACTTCATTTGGGGTCTATATTTTCTCTAATGTTGTTTTTAAAAATGGTTTATTTTATATTTGTAATCTAGAAAATCAAGGAAATTTCATTGTTTAGCTATATTTTTTTTTATTATTATTTATTATTTTCAGTTTATTTATTTTGTTCAGTTTATTGAAATCCAGAAACAAATTCTATCAAAAGAAATTTTATAAAAAAAATATTTTCTGATTTTCATTTGGTACAATACAGTAAACCCTCATCAAAGAAAAAAAGTCTTTGTTTTCTCTGACATTTCAGAATTAGTATTTTTATATAATAATAGCATATTATCTGAGAAATTTATGAATTACTATTTTGGAAACTATATTCATTATGTATATTTAATATTTTTAACATATCAAAGGTGTAACAATATCGGGCAACTCTCTTCAATATGGAATATTTTAAAAATAATGTAAGAAAGAACAAACATAAAAAGAATTTCTAAAAAATAATATTTAAAGCCACAGGTTGGTAGTTAATATTTAAACATTTTAGAAGAACTAATTATGAAGTAATGACAACTCCACATATAAATTAGCACTCCCATACCATTTTTTTATATAATTGCTTCCTCTTCTTCTGTTTATCCTCTTGTTTTTGAGAACAAGTATAAGTTCTAGCTGAGTAGTATAAATAGAACTCTGGTGTGTATTTTCTTCTCCCAACTATTTTAGTTTTTACACATATTTCAGATTCTTGTCTATTTTTACAGTTTTTAGGTTTGAAAAGCACTAAATGACAAACATTTAGTGCAACATTTCCCAAGTAATCCTTTATTGAATAATGGATTAGACTAAAACTTCACGTATTTTATTTATTGATTTTCTTCATTTTTTCCTTTGAAATTTCACAAGTGAAAGTGTCCTGAGGTGTAACATATAAGTAGTAAAATATATACTAAGTCAATTTATTCAATATCATATGGAGGGTATCTCATTTCTTAATGGCTAAATTCTGGGGGAGCATAATTCTAGACAAAATATCCAACTAAAAAGTTCTTTTGATGCATGGGCCGATTTCAAACAGAAACGGAGTTATGACCAATTTTATGTTTTTCTTAAGGTAGTCACTAAGAGTTGTTAGTGAATAACAAGGAATTCTTCAAAAACTATTCAAGGTAATTAAAATCTAAGTACACCATCTTAAAGTAAAGTTTGAGAAAACATGGATTAAATTTAGTAAGGTCAATGAATCCTCATACCAGACTGAAACGATAAGAAACCGCTTGACATTTTCGACTACTCCAACACTTACTAGACAAACGCTCTAAACTTCAAAATTACATACAAATGACAATAATAAGGCCTATTTGGACTTACGGAATCGAGCTTTTTGGATCTACTAAACTATCAAATTCCTCTCGTATTCAATCCTTACAATCCAAAATCCTTCATAAAATCGTCAATGCACCTTACTTTGTCACAAATAAAATCATCCATAACGACCTTAACGTACCATATGTTTCCGATTTAGCCCAATCTAGATACCTATCCTTCCATAATAAACTTCAGAACCAACCGAACCCTCTTGTTTTCAATCTTGCTTCCTCTTCTATTCCTGATAACCCTGCTAGGCGTGTGAAAAGAAGATAGTCTCGGGACCTTCTAATATAAAACTTTAATTTGAGTTCTACCAATGTTATGTTACTGAAGTTTCTCTTCATGTTATGTTACTAATGTCACATTTTTTTATTGCATTCCTCATGTAATACAGTTGTAAATTTCATTAAAATAAAAAAAAAAAGAGATTTAATATGGATGCTGTACAGAAATACGTTGCTAATGAACAGGTACTATTACTTTAGCAGTACAGTGGCCATAGTAGGTATGTCTCCTTAAAGTCTCTTTTATCATTGACCTTACCAAATTTAATTATATTGAAAAGTTTTTGAGCAATTCCTTCTTATTCCATAAAAACCGTGACTACCTCAAGAAAAACACAAAAATGGTCTTAACTCCGTTTCTGTTCAGAATCAGCCTATGCATCAAATGAATTTTTCTGTTGGGAATTTTCTCTAGAATCCCCCTCTTGAGTTTGACTATCAAGAACTGGGACACTCTGTATAAAAAAAAAATGCTTGTTTCATTTATTGTCATAACAAATTTTTGTTATATAGTTTGCTTAAATGTTCAACCTAGAACTTAAACAAAACTATTTATTAAGGGCATTTCTCCTATAAAATGAAATATAAGTAGTCCGTAAGACTGTTCTTCACAGAGACTTTCGGGAAAACAAAAAAAATAGGTTGACCTTGACCCATAGGTACCCATATTAAGGTAAAGGGTGATCTGATACAGTTTTATACAAAATAACACAGTCCCTTTGATTCTGCTTATTTTTTTAGTCTTCTGGAATTAAAAGAAAAGTAATCAATCTTTTTTTACATTATTGGACTAAATGTAATCATGCACTTGTTTGAAGTGATCATTGTTAATACATACTATTAATTTTTTATCAACAAATTCTTTATAATTCAGTCTTTGGACTTTACCATAGCTGAAGTATTTTGAAATAAACTGCAGTCCAGTCAGTTTACAATGGCATTTGCCTTGATTTATTCTGCTATGAAGCATTGGGCATGAGACACCTTATCTTTCCTCAAAAACCTTAGTTTTCTTTTTGTAATGTGTCATTAATAATAATTAAATTTTTTAATGCCAATTTCACAAAAATCTGTTCATTATTGATCACAATTCTGTTGTTGTTTTTTGTTTGTTTCTTATATTTTTAATTATGTATTCTGCCAGTGATAGTATATACATTTTTAATGTACTTCAACATACTCTAGCAGAATACCCGAATAAAAATATAAGAAACATATATATATATATATATATATATATATATTTATGTATTAAAAAGTGAGGTTGTTGATTGTTTTTTTTTTAATTTGAACATGGAAAATGCATACATTTTATTTAAATTAGTCATCTTTCTCTTTCTTATAATGAAGGTTTACTGTTCTAAGTATGTCTATATTTCAATATTTAAATACAATTATTCGAGTTATATATTTAGTACCTTTAACAAACTACAAACCTTGTTTTAATAGCATATTAATTAATGAATCACTAATTTATAGATTCATATATAATTAATAAAAGCATAAGTGGTGTTAAAGATGGCCAAGTTCTGAGCGAGGTGACCAAAATCTGAACTTCTTGATTAATGTCTTTAAATTTAATTAACTTATATTCAAATATTACTTAAAATTGGACATTCTTTTTCTTCTTATTTAAACCAGAAAACAAGATACTTTTTCATTCATTGAACTTTTATAAGCAATCAAAATGTAATGATTTATTTTAATTTTGTTATTACCATTTATTGATTCCATTATTGTTATATATGATAAAATCTTGAATATATACAATGGATTTGGTTTATTGAAATACTTTGTTTTCAATATTTAAAACAAAAATATTATGTACTTCTTTCCTTAATATAATATATATATATATATATATATATATATATATATATATATATATATATATATATATATATATTTGCAATACTTGAACTGAATCATTAGTTATTGAAGCCAATTAACCATAATGCTGCGTGTTTTTTTTTATTACCAATAAAGTTACAATTTTTTATTATGGTCAATTGTGACTGTAATCTTGTAACTTTACATGTGTTATTGATAAATTTCTATTTCTTTAATTTTATATAAACAAAATGGTTTCTCGCTTTGTAAATTGTCTTAATGTTACAAACCGAATTATTAACTTGACAATTAGCCTTTCTTTAACATCAAAATATACTTAATACTTATTATTATTCTATTATATTTAAGTATTAATTTATTCAGTTTTATTTTCTAAAAGAATAATACAATTCTTAATTATCATAGCGTAAATTATCTGTTAATTGTCCATTTGTCTTAAAGTTGGCAATAATTTTTTTCTAATCTTTGATCCTATTGTTTCAGTTCTTTTATTTATCAGTTTTTTTAGTTTTTTTTTTTTTTAATTTCTAATAGTATTAGGTTTATTTTATTTTTAATTTCTATATTAATATTTTTTTTTTAATTCATAGCTTAGTTTTAATTTTGTTTCCTGTCATTGAAGTTGAGCTGGCATATTTCAGGTGATTGGAATTATTCTCGCCTTCAGGTATCGTAATCAAATTGACCCAGATTTAGATTTTTCCCAAACCTTATTTCCGGGAAGGAGAAATTACCGATATACAAACCTTAGGACAACGCCAACTACAGATCTGAAACTACCAATAAATCCCTGAAACCTTCTGTTTTTTCTCTGTTTTTCCTTGAAACTTTATATAGGTTTTCAGATTAAATGGAATGAATCCACAGTTAATCTATATGATTGATAAACGAGTTCACCAAACATCATGAATTTGATTTTTTCACGTTTTGAAGCAAATTTCACTTTCTAATGATATTTTATTGTTCCTCGTGTCTTTGATAAATGAATGTTGGACCATTTAGTGAATAATAATAGTAATCAATAAATTAAATATATGTTTTTTGTTTCAATCTTAATTAAGTTATGTATTTAGAAACTTCTAAGACTGTATAAACAGAACAAACTATTCAGGTTCAATTTGATATTATTTATGATTTTTTAATATGTTTGTATACTATTTTTTATTCTTAGCTTCAAAGTAGTTTAATTTTCATTTCTTTAGTTTGAACTCCTAGTTTTATAACTATTCTTTTACATATAAAGAGAATCAATTTCAGGAGTTGATTTAGTGTTTGTTTCACAATTTCAAATGACTTTGTGTCAATTTAATTTACATAATTCCATGTAATTTATTTTGTAACATTGGGATATGACCATGAATTAAACATTCAACTATTTTTTCTACTAATATTGGTCATTCTAGATTATATATCATTATTATTGTATTAAATCTAGTTTCTAGTCTTAGTTTATTTTTTGGTGGCATCTGAGTGATAATCTTAACATCGGTCCAAAGAATAAGATGTTGCTTTATCTTACTTTTGTCAAAGCCCAAAAATCAAAACTGTTGATGTATTTTTAGACTTCTTTTTACTACCAATATGTTTATTATTTACAATTGACGTCTTTTATTTGTGTGCCATAATCATCTTAATAAGTTGTTTTTTTTCATTAAGTTATGTTTTTCAAAACTATCCTAATGTTCTGTAATATGATTTTTTTTTATATTATGGCCAGTCATTGAATTCCTTTCAAACATTTTGATTTCTAATGTAATTAAAATAACAATTGCTAACTTTCATTATTATTAGTGTTTAAAAACCTTGACGATTTCCCATGATTTAATATCCATTTTTAAAAATAATTTAGAATGTTTTCTCTCAAACATTACTAAAACTACCTTGTGACTTTGAACTAAGTTCGGTAGACATCTTGAAAAAACAATTATTTCTTCCAATAATTTCTCTTTAATACTTTGTAATATAAACGATCCAAATTGTGTATGTATATTCAACTTAAATTTAATATATGATATATTTGTACAATGATATCTATGTGAATGTGATAATAGTTTATTTTAGTCAACAATGTTGTAGTTTGTATTTTTTTACTTTGTTTAAGTTTAAAGCTATTTATGTATTTCTTTATTAAATGTGAATATCTGTTAAATAGGCTGTATTTTGGTTCTCTGGGGATAAACTTGTACAATTTGCTTGATTGCACTAAAAAGTTTATTAAACCTAAAGACTTAATTCGACTGCATTAGCATTATCAGAATTCTGTGTAGAGCTTTGGAATTTTACCTGTTTACGCCTGATAATAAGTATGATAATAACTACATAAATATTTTGTAGATATTTATTTTGATTAGTGACTCTCGTAACAATTGTGATTAAAGCTAACATAGGAGGATCATTTAATTTTATTAGCCTTTGTCAAATAAATATCAAAGTTTTATTAGTGAAGTATTCCAATTTGTGTATATGATGTAAAGCTATCAAAATATATTATTTTTTGTGTGCATTTATTGCTATTTCATCCTTCATTATTAGACATGGATTTTTTTGTCTTATTCAGTTTTAAGTTTATATTAGTTTGCATTATTTTAGTTTATAATGCAATTTTATATTAATTACTTTAAGATTAATATCAATTCACCAGAGCATTGTATGATGGATCTAATTATTTAATGGTGTGCTTGAAATAGAGAGCCAGGGGAAAAATAGACAGCTTGCTATTTTATAATAATATATTACTTATCTATTTAAAATAAATAGAAATATTGCGATAGAGAAAATTTTAATCTCAATTTTAAACATAATTAAACGTTTTGAGATTCCCTGAGTCCAAATAACCAAGTCCCACAGATTGGTCTGTGTGTGTTAAGAGTCTAGCTAAAAAGCGAAAAGTCTTATCTAAGTGAAATTCCATATTTAAGGTTTGTATATGCCTGGGATATTACAGCAATATTTTTAGCTAGCCAGAAGTGGTATTTTATATAATTGATTCAACACATTTTTACGATTTTCTAGAAAACGGCTCTTAACGACTGATTGATTAAATTCATTATATCAGTTTAAAATTAAGTAGTTATTAATATAACATAGGTTTTATTCTCATTGATGTTTTCTAACAGGGTTTAAATGGCTAATTTTCAATATTTCTTCCTCAGAAGTACCTTGTTTAATTGTTTTCATTTGAAATAATTAACCATTTCACATTGAACTATGATAGAAAAAAATAGTCAAACATAAAATATTAAAGAATTTGATTAATAACGAAAGGAGAAATAAGAGATCATAACGAATAATAGTTGTAATAGAGGGACCAAAGAAGAATGAGCTCGCCCTAAAGATTAGAACAGTCTTCCATGTGTAACATGAGCTTAACATAATATGGACTCAGACAATATTATATATATATATATATGCTGTTTTCATAAATGCTATCGTTAATATTTAATTGTATACATTACAGCTTTATAAAAATTAAAATTAATATTTATACCAATGCTTAAACAAATAAAAATATCCATAATGAAATATAAATATAGTGTCTTTCTTTATCAGTGTCACTTTTGTCAGACTAAAAATATTTCATGACATTTAATTATGTATTATAATCAAATAAGTACAGTTGTAAAAGGAAATGGTTGGTGTTTAACAAAATAAATATAATATATTAGACGGCTATGAAAAACATGGTAAGTAATTGTTTTAAATAATATTTCGTGCCATCTATAATTTTTACTTTCACTTCCCATTGTCTGAAAATACTTATTTGTGCTAAAAGAGTGGTAAGTGAAAGTTGTGTGATGCCCACACTGCACCAGATTTTTTTACTTTATTTCGAAGAGAGGTGAATCTTTGGTGAACCATCATGAGAAAATAATGACATTTTAAAAATAAAATTTTTGAAGTGAAAACTTCTTTAGGTGTGTTTTTCACTTTGTTGTGGAGAGTGAATTAGATTAAGCCGTCAGATTTCTGAAGTATAACGCTTGGGTAAAGTCGACTAATTGAACTGTTTTTGCATATGGATTAAAATATCTCAAAAACTAAAAATTAGACCTGCATATTGTTAGAGAGGGAAATGTTCATCATTTTATCCTCTTTGTAATGAGCTATTATTTAAAATTGTATCTTAAAAGGACGCTGTGTTTGAGGGGCGAAAATGGAAAAAATAGTGTCGAAAACCAAATGATAACAAGTTTTATTGATGATATGGATTAAAATATCACGAGAAACTAAAAATCCGACCTGCATACCGTAAGCAAGGTTATATCAGCATTTCATCCTCTTTATAATGAGCTATATTTATAATTTTTACTTCATATTATCAATCATTCTATAGTGTGCTCTAAAGCACATACCTTAGTTTTTTTTGTCTGTAAAACATTCTTCATAAATATGATATGATCCTACCATCCACTCTACTTGGCCAAACAAAAGTAGAGGAGATGGACAGGTAACAATTTGTTTTTTCACATACTGTTTTGTAATAAAATATATGGATTCTGTTCGATAGAAAACTCATTTATTAGTATTATTTTCTTTGTGAATGATTTTGGAACTTAAAAATGTGTTAAGTAGTTGTGTTTTGAAAGATCCATTATTATTAAGGAATCATTCATTGCAACTCCAAAATCGTTCATAAATAAAAAAATCTTAACATTAAAAAATTACTGAATCTGACCATGTATATTAAATATAAAAAATAAAATAAAACTTTCTTCTTTTAATTAGACTATTTGTCATATATCTACATAGTATACAAGATATAGTGGTATAGATCCCTTTTTCAGTTATAAGTGGCGATTAATTTTAACAAATGAGGTATCAAACAAAAAGGAATTCCATGGAGACGTGATCATAATTTCAAAACAGAAAACCTTACTCCATTCAACTACAATAAAAGTCATTAAAAAACTGTTTCAAAAGTTTCCAGATCAAGATGGGATGAATTATTTTTTAAATATTTTGACTTAAGACATCATGGCCAAACAGAACTAGACGTTCCGGGATCTACTTTCATATCTCATCATCAGACAGTATCTTCATCCTATATCCTCTTATTACTTTCACTTACGTATATATGTAATATATAGTAAGGGTAAGTATTGCGATCGTGAAAATTTTCGAATCTCAGTTTTCAATAGAAATACATGTTTTGAGGTTCCCTGAGTCCAAATAACCAAGTGTCGCAAAATGGTCTGTGTGTCTGTGTTAACAGTCTAGCTCATAAACGAAAAGTAGTACGAAACTGATATTAAGTATTTAAGATTTGTATATTAGCCGGATGTGATAGTAACTTTTTCGTTTAAATCGTCTAACCGGAAGTGCCACTTTATATGAACGCTGAAACACATTTTTACAATTTTCTCAAAAACGACTAACGATTTTGATTAAACTTGGTGTATCATTGTATAGTTAAGTGGTCTTTATTATCATTTAGGTCTTATCACCATTGATGTCACTTTACAGGGCTTAAATGCCCATTGTTCATATATGTCTTCATCTAAAGTACCTTTAATATGGTTTATTTTAAAAAGTTAACCATTTTGCATTATTCAGAGTTACGAAAAAATGCTACGTATAACTTTTGAAAGAATTCGATAAATTAATAAAGGAGAATGCAGAAAAACCTGCGTTCCTACAGACTGTAGCGCCTAAACGAATCTACCGATTTCAATGAAACTTCGCTAAAGTCATTTTCTCGATACCCTTTAAATTTATCTATATAACATACTTCAACGGAAAGAAGCTGGAAAAAAAGTTACGAGGGATGGTAAAATTAAATTCCGAATAATTCAAAAAGTATACACTTTTTTGCGGATATTGTATATGGTTTTTTAAAAGTATGGAATTTCCTGAAAAAAAAACAAAAAATGCGTTAAAATCGGACAATTAGGTGGAAAGATACGGTCTCTAGTTTTTTCCCCTGAAGAGGCGAAAATTTGTATAAATTTAAAATATACTTTTTTAATTGTTGAGACTAAAACACCTTTTTTGTACAGATATTTAATAAAGTATCTTTCCTATGAACATCTTTCATAAGAAATAAGTACAATCACCACCTCAGTAATCAACTTACTCACTGTCTGCGTAGATAACTTTTTCAACTAAAAATATTACTAAATTGACATTACTCAAAAATGTTGAAATTGGATTTAGTCATTCTGTGGTTTATAAAAGCAA